TGCCTTTTTCAGTAGAGTACTAGGTGGGATGAACCCTAGGTCTTGCTCATTCGTCCTTAGGGTTCCAAAGGCATTGCTGTAGCTTGGTTTGAAATAGCACTTTAGGTGGTTGCCTGGCTCTTTTTCTTACTGATTTCTCTTAAGGTGTATGTTCTACCAGAGGTGCTTCTGACTTGAAGATAGTCTTTTACCAACACCACAACAGAGACAGAAATAGAATTGATATTGTCATGAGAGTGAACTACCTGGAAAAAAGAGGAAATAGATACAGAGTTCAGGAAACATCACAAACCTGGCATGAAGGCGTGATATATTAGTGATAGGGGGCTTCAATTATTTGAATATCTGTTAGAGTTCACATTGTCTTCCTCTAAAACAGAGCAGTTAATAATTTCTTGGGTTGCCTTAATGATCATTTCATCCCTTTTTGTTTATTCTTTATACTATCAAAAAAGTTTTATTAATATGTTTTGTTTTTACTTTATAAATATTTCCAGATTTCCCCCATTCTGGGTCTCATATAACAAAGTAAAACAGTTAAACAAAACTAATAATTCATTGACCTCATCTGAAATTACATGCAGCATTCCACATCTGTAGCACCCCCAAAGCTCTCTATTTAAAAAAATTAGTTTTTAATTTTCAGTTCCACATTCTTCTTTCCACCCCTCTCCCACTTGTTGAGAAAGAGTGAAATATGATACGTATTACACATATAGTCATGCAAAACATATCTCCATGTTAGCCACATTCTGAAAAAAAAAAGTAAGAAAAACAAAGAAAAGAAAAAAATATTTCAATCTGCGCTCTTAGTCCATCAACTTCCTATCTGGAGGTAGACAGCATTTTATATCCTGAGTCCTTTCAAGTTGTAGTGGATCATTGTATCAGAGTTACTCTTTCACAGCCAATTTTCTTTACAGTATTGCTGTTACTATATAGATTGTTCTCCTGGTTCTGCTTACTTCACTTTCCATCAGTTCATGTAGGTCCTCCCAGGTTTTTCTGTAACCATCCCCTTCATTATTTGTTATAGTACATTCATATGCTACAATTTGTTCAGCCATCCCCAATTGATGAGCATCCCCTCAGTTTCCAGTTCTTTGCCACAACAAAAAGAGGTACTATGAATATTTTTATGCATATATGTCCTTTTCATTTTGCTTTGATCTCCTTAAGAGTGTAGATCTAGTAGCAGTATTACTGGGTAAAGAACCTCTCTATTTTTTAGTTGTTTTTTTTTTAATTAACAGATCTATTTTCTTGACCTCCTACTTTCATCTCATTGAAGAAACAGAAAAGAAAAACAAAACCTTTGTAACAAATATGCATAGTCAAGCAAAGTAAAGTCCCTCATTGGCTGTAGCAAAAATATATATGTTTCATTCTGCACCCTAAATCCATCACCTCTGTCAGGAGGTGGATGCTATGTCTCATCATCACTACTCTGGAGTCATGAATGGTTATTATATTTATATAGTTTTTAGAGCTTTCAAAATTGTCTTTACAGTGTTGTTAATATATGGTTTTCCTGGTTCTGTTCATTTTGTTTTTCATTAGTTTACAAAAGTTTTCAAAATTTCATCCTTCAAAAAGTGGGGAAAAAACCCCAAAATCCAGGAAGGGAAAATTTCATTCTAGATTCACTCAGTGGTCTGACTGTCCAAAGACTTTTGATTCAGGAGTAACTGCCTCATCAATAACAAATCATTTCCTTTCTATTAAAATATAATAAATTCCTTTTTTTCTTTTGTTGTTTGTATTTACCACTTACCATGTCCAGCACTTGTTGATGCTTTTCTCAAAAAGGTGTGTGTGTGTGTGTGTGTGTGTGTGTGTGTGTGTGTGTGCGCGCATATGTGTATATATGTGTATAGAGAGAGAGGCTTCTGTGTTGTCTACCAGTCTTTTACCTTTCTCATTTCTTTTTAATGATTTCCTAATGTATTTTTCACCATTCTTACCTATTCCCACTTTTGCATTGAAATTGCCAAATATCACGGTATTTGTGCTGACTTAATTTGGAGGGCCTTTGTGAAAATCTAAGTAAATTTTATTTATAGCATTCTTTTTACCTACCAGTATAGCAGCCCTGTCAAAAAAGGAAATGAAGTTAATATGGCACATAATAAATCCAACACATAATTTTTAAAGCTGCCCTGCTTGTCTGTATTTCCTTCAGGCATTCCTTCTTTTTCCTTCTGTATGTGTTTTTAAAAAAGGCTTCAGTGCCTCTGTGTGTGTGTGTGTGTATGTGTGTGTGTGTGTGTAGAGAGGGGGCAGGGAGGGAGAAAGAGAGAGACATTGTAACACACACAAATAAATTTAGCCCAGAATCAAACATGAAGAAAAGCAGATTGTCTTCAGAAAATTGTAGAACTCTTTTAATGACCCTAAACTTCTCTCAAAAACAAAAGCCCATCTTGTTAACACACCAATATTGAACCAGTCTTGTATGGCTGCAATTTTTGAAACACAACATTCTCCAGTGAAATAAAAATAAAAGGCAGTAGAGATGCACCTGGAGCAGTATAAGTAAGCTACAAAATAAAACAAACAAGCTTGGAAGGACAGGAGGAAAGGATTTCATCAGGGAAATTTATGATTAAAGAAAATGGACTGGCCATTTGACTAGAGTAAGGAACAAAATGGTTACTCTACTTGTATCTTCACAACATCATTAGACAGTGAGGAACACCCGCAATATATGTCAAGTGACTCCACTGACAAACTTAGGGGAAGAAATGAACAAGAGTTTCTCAAGATAGTCGGGTCTGGATGATTTGTGGTCTGCAGTGTTGGAGGGAGCATTGATGAGATCACAGATCCAACCAATTCAGATTTCAGCAAAGTCTTGAATCAAATCTCCCAAGCAATTCGTGTGTAAAATGTGGAGAGTTCCACTAGATAATAAGTGAGGGAGAAGCAGAGTTGGCCCAGCAGCTGGACCCAGAATTGTAATAAAGAATTTAATATCCCCTTGGAAGGAGATTTTTAGTGGAGTTTCTCAGAAGTCTGGGCTACTTATCAGTGATTTGGACAAACCAGAAATGATCCTTATCAAAATGGCAAAGACACAAAGCTGGAGGGGATAGCTGGGTGTGAATCAGATTCCAAGAACATCTTAGCATTGGGCCAGTTGAAATTTAATAAGGTTAAATCTGAAGTCTTATACTTGGATTTTTAAAACCAGCATCACAATATGAGATGGCAGGAGGTCAGGTCAACAAGCATTTATGAGTTTACTACATGCCTGGCACTAGGACTCAAAGAAAGGCAAAACCAGTCACTGCCCTCAAGGAGCTCACAATCTAATGCAAATAACTGTGTCCAAATAAAATATATACAGTGAGGTATGTGTACGTTCACAGCAATTCATCTGAAAAAGACCTGTGGGTTTTGGTGTACTACAAGGCCATTTGTTCTATGGTGGCCAAAAAAGCTAATGCTGCCTTCAGCTACATGAAGAGAGGCATACTGTCTAGAAATAGGGAGATGGTGCTCTTCTTATACACTACCTAGTTCAGATCATCACTAAAATATTGTGTTCATTTCTGGGTGTCACATTTTGGGAAAGAGAAACTGGAGAACATCCAAAGAATGGTCAAAAAGGCCAAATTCATGCCATTTAAGTATCAGTTGAAGGAGTCGGGAATGTTTGGCCTGGAGAAAAGAAGACTTAACAGGGCATGATAGCTACTTTCAAGTATTAGAGGAGGAGTCACTTAAAAAAGAAATTAGCTTTGTTTTGCATGGCCCCAGAGGACAGCTATGAATAGATAGAAATTGCTACAAGAGAAGTTTAAGGAAAAATGTAACAAGTTAGAGCTTTCCAGAAGTGGAATGGATTCCCTTGGAAGGTAATGGATTCCCCCTCCCTAGGAGGCTTCAAGCAAAAGCTACATGATAACTTGTCAGATGTCCTAGAAGCATTCATAGTGTTGAAGAACCTCCAAAGTCCTTTCTGACCATGAGGTTTTGTGATTCTGCATCTCTTCAGTACTTTGAGAAAGAAAGTTTTTGAGTTGCCACTTAAACATTTGATATTTCTCCCTGGGATTGGTGTAGCTGGATGGCTAAAGTGGTCCAAATAAGAAAGGAAACTTTAATGGAGAGTTGGAGAACATCAAGACAGATCTGTCCACTCTTAGCAAACTGGCATCTACTGGGAACACATTCATCGCAGCCAACCCTTTGGTAGAATCTGCTAACTACCTACCTCAAAACTGATATGTTTTGAAATCTAGTGAGTAACACAAGATGCTATTGACATAGTCTGCAAGCAACTTGTTTTTCATTTATTCATTTCTACCAAGATTTCCTAGATTTTGTTAAGCCTTGTAAAGGGAGATGAAAGCTCACCCCTCCTTTTGGGGTTTTTGTTGTGATTTGGGGACAATTTCCATTTCCTTACTTAGCCTTTTACTAAGTGGCTATTTCAGTGTTTGAGTTGGGGCTGGTTGGGTGAGCTCACCTTCAGAGAAAAATATTCACAACCCATATAGAACACCTACTTTGTAATGGCTAAATTCTCTGTGGTAACTTCTTGGTAAATCCCACAGCCGTATGCTATGTGCCTTACCTGTTCTTGGATGCCAGCTCTGGGGAGAAATATGGTGGCCATTTACAAGCCCCAGGAACACTGCCTAATGACTTGGTCACTAGGTGGCAGTCTAAACAAGTAGTAATCCATCTTTGTGATTTGAGTAAAGCCATTAAGAAGTCATGACTAATTATTTGCATATTTAAAAAGGAGAAACAATGCCTTGAGTCACATGTATCCTCACATTTCTCTGTCTGCCCCAATTATATTTCCCAAGGTATGTCCAGAAGAGGTGCCAACGATAGTCTTAAGTATGCCTCTGAGCATTTCCACTTCAGTTTAGGATTAGACCAGGTTTTAAGTGGAGCAAAAGCTCTCCTTCCTGACCATTAACTCTCCACATACTGCATTGACTGTGCATCTGCTGACCCCAGTTCTCTCTCTCTCTCTTTTCCAGAACTCACATGCTGTGTTTCCGACTGAGATGCCCTCCTCCCGTCCTCCAAACCAAGACTCACTTCACTGTCCTACTGACGTTCACAGCTTTGGCTTAGGAAGAGGCAGTTGTGCTCCTGGCACATCCCAGCTTGAAACCCCCAGGACCTGACCCCACACTGAGTCAATTGCCCATAGTGGGGAAACTTTGAGTTCAGATCCCCAAAGCCACATCTCCATTTTGTGCATCAGTAGCATCTCCCTTAGCCTCTCAAGGTACAAGCTGCCCAAGAGCAGGACCCATTTGAGAAAGGAGACGAAAGTTTACCCTACTATTTTATCTGCAGCCCTCCAGCATCACAGGATTTGCAGTTTTTCTCTCCCTCCTCTTGAGCACATAAAGGGTCAACTGTATATCCTAGAATGAAGCAAGTCCTGAGCCCTGCTGCCTTGGAGAGACAGTAATGTTTCATGTATCAGCCTGACTGTGGTTTGTGAGGATGTGTAATTGTGTATAGGAGGGGGTATAACATCTTTTTGAAAGAATTCTTAAGAAATGTGCTCATGTATGTGCAGCCTGCTGTGACATCTTTTCCCCTTTACCAGGCATCACAGTCACACAGCTTTGATACCACCTTTGCATAACTTCCTCTTTGATGCTAAGCTTCTATTAGTTATGTGGTTTATTTTAAAAGGGAAACTTTCTCTCCCGCTGGGCAGCAAGAGTCTCCAGAATTATCTGTCTCAAGCAGCAGAAATTGCCTTTTGTGATTCTCTGAAAGCCTCCTTCCTTGTCGCCTGTCTTTTTAATTGTTGGGTATAGCCTGAGGCCTTAATGTTCACATGTAGCTCTTAGATTACCTTTGCCCTCCCCCTATTTCCCCAGTGCTTAAACTTTGCCTCGAATTTGTCATGAATGACACAAATCATTTTCTTCCCTTCCTAAGGGAACTTTCATTTTATTCACTAATGATAATCCAGGTGTTCTGGGCTCACCCCTGCAGGTCATCCAAGTGACAAACCAGTAAGGGATAAACTGGGCCTGAATCTGCCCTTACATGGCTGAAACAAGTTGGAACACATCAGTCCGGCAGAGGACAACTTTGCCCGTTAGGCAGATGGAAGCGGAGAGGGAGGAAGGGGGAAAGAGAGAGAAGGAGTAGGATTCAGATAACACAGAGCTTGGAGGCCCCCCAGGAACCTACATAAACACAGGATTGCTTCTCTTCATCTGCTGGCTTGAACTCCTTTCCTCAGAACCAAACCTTGATGTCTTTACAAGTGGTTATTTTGCAGTTCTTAGCTGAGGTTGAATTGAAGAAAACAACAAAAAATGAAAGGAAATAGTTCTCCCTGGAAAGGTGAATGTAGGTGATATCCCTGAATATGAAATTCCACATGCATGACTTCTAAGTTTCATTTCTCTAACTCTTAGGAACGGAAAACACTCAGGAGCTGCAGGCTCAAGCCACCTTGTTTCCCTTTATTATAGGGTCCATTGTCCCTATAATATTCAAAGCTTCAGGAAATGTGAGACAACATTGAGTTGAGTGAGTCTGGGGACCCCTGCCTCTCTGGTCAGCCATATCCTTAATAGATGGATTTGAGTGAACGTAAGAGAATATAATGCATGATGGGATGATACTCTGGGTCAAAGCTTCAAGTATTAACCTGACTTCCAGAAACATTAATTACTTCCTCTTTTTTTTTTTTAATGAGGGAGGCAATCCAGGCCCTTTTCCCAGGAATATTTCCAGGTCTGTCCTCTGGAGTAATGTGAGATAGTGACTGGGTGCCAGAAGAGGAGCCAGCTAAATGGAGACCAGGGTGAGAAAAGGAGACTCGGGGCTCAGAAAGTATAGAAGGATTCCTTTAAGGGTGGTCCTTGGGCTGAAGGAAAAAGAAAACCAGATTTGTCCGCCGAAGTGGGCTACATGGTAGAGACTTTCAATCTGTTCCTGTTTCATGAATGGGGTTTTTTTGGACCTAAGAGAGTAAATGACCCCTTGTCCTCTCCCCTCTCCCTTGAAAACCCTTATTAAATGCAGCCTTCTGATTTGCTTTTGGCCATTGTTAACTCCAACTTCTGAGGATCTTAAAAGATGAACCATTCACCAGGTCCACGGAATTGTGCATACAGGGCCAGGCTGTATAGGGGAATAGTGCCCTAGACATTTCATTCTGAGAACTTTTGCCATCCAACTGTGAGAGAGTACCGGCTCCCTGTAAACTTTGCTCAGAAGGGATCCTTTCTCCATTTGAAGGTTCTCAGGCCGGCAAACTCTGAGCTTCCTAGAAGTAGATTGTGAAATATGAATGCTTATGGGGGAGAGTTTAATAACTATCACTCAATTTCTAGTCCAACTTTATGTGACATATAGGACTCGATGCTAGTCTTGAGGGTTTCTCAGGCTTTCCCCTCCTGTGACTATAAAAATCCCATTGTAGCATGATGAGTTTCCCTGTGTACTGCCATCTGGTCCATATGTCCCAGTGAGTTACACACACACACACATACATACATATACGTGCATACATATATGCACATGCATGTGCACAAGTGTAGAAAAGCTCTGCTCTTATGACAAGTCAAATGACCTTTTAAAGCCTAGAGCGTTCATCCACGCCAGCATTGCTTCCTCTCTTGTCTCCAGTTCCCCTCTATGGCACGAATAATCCAAAAGGAAAAAACTGAAATAAACTATTGGTCATGTTTTCAATATTTCTGCTAATTCTAACTTTCCCAGAGCCTAATGTCTATTAGCCTTGATCCCCATGAAGATATAGGCCTGCTGTTAGTTCTTCTGGCCACATTGAAGAGATTGGGCATGTTTTTCTTTCTTGTAAGGTAGTAAGATGCCCCGTTATGCTAAGTTCAGGTAGAGGCAAGGTTAAGAGATGCTAAAAAAGGGATTCAGGTGCTAGATGGTAGGTTGGTCTTGAAGGGCCTGTAAAGTCCCTTCCAACTCCTAGGTTCTGTGAGCCCAAAAGAAGCATTACTTTTGTAGTTGTGTAGAACTAGCTCTGTTAGGACTGGATAGGTGGGGAGAAGTTACCTCTTTCTGTGGTTGGATATTGTACAGTGAGCAGCTGATGTGATCGGAGGGTGTGTAGGTCGCTTTGTTTAGTTAAAGGGGGCCCTTTCCCCAACTCCACCGTCCTTCCTCCCAGCAAAGTACCTTTGATCTTGGCTGTCTCACAGAACTCAACTCAACTCACTACCCTGCTGTCCCTGGTGCTTGTGTTGCAGTTGTGAGGACTAACCCAAACCAGGCCTTATAGACAAGGAAACAAACTCAAAGAGGGTAAGTCACTTGTTCATGGTCACACTACCAATAAATGGCAGAGCTGGATTCAAACTGGGGAATTCTGAGTCCAAAGCCAGGATTCTTTGTACTGTAGTGCCTTGGCTACCTCTAGTTAGTTTTGTGAGCATCTCTGAGAAAAAAAGGAAGAGAAAAGCCCTGCTTTTCAGTCGTTAAGCCTCAGGAGTCATGTTGTGCATTTACTTTATACAGCTGACTCAAAACCACCCCCAGGATGAAAAACCTGATCAGAATTTGTTTTGCCCACTCATGAAGGTGTTCTGATTGATTGAACTTTAGTGATGACAAGGGATTAGGCCTGAAGGAATAGTGTTCCTTGTTGTTCCCTAGGCCTCAGAATCCCCAAGTTGTAACTAGGGAGAATCTCCTTAGATTCTTGATCGTTTAACTGCTCCCGGGAGAAGCTGCTGTGATAGGGAAGGAAACAAGTGGGATGTCTGTCCTTATCCAGGGAGTGCTCTTCATGGCATTTCTATTTGTAGATTTGAAACTTCAAGCTGAGTTCAGATCTGGGCTGGGGTTGTGATCCTCCCCTTATTTTCCTTGGACTTTGTAAGTAAAGATAGGGAGCGAAGAAGGGAAAACATCTAAGAGAAATGAGGAATACCCTCTAATTCCTCTTCCCCAGCCAGGATCAGTACCTCTAGGAAGCAAGAAATATGGAGTGAGGGTAGGATGGGATGAGAGGTAGGGGAAAAGAAGAGGAAAGGAAGAAGCAGGAACTAGGAGAGAGGCATATTGAAAATTCATCATTCCCTATTTTAGAGGAGGCTTTCTGTGGATTTCTGCTGTTTCCTAGTTTGTAAGCGTTTTCAGAAAAAGAAAATGAAGGTGAGAGTGAGGTCACAGGTGGGGTAGTTCAGAGATAAAGCCCCAAGGGCTTTTACATTTTTGTCTTGGTAAAAGTAAGAAGCTTGGACTATATGATTTGAAAAGATCCTTCCAACTCTAAAATTTATTTCAAAAGTATGGGAATGTATAGGTGAAAACAATAAACAGTGGTTTTGTTGCTGTAGAACAGGGGTTCTTAATCTGGAGTCCACGAACTTGTTTCAGATATATATATATATATATATATATATATATATATATATATATATATATATATATATATATATATATATATATATATATATATATATATATATATATATATATATATATATATATATATATATATATACTGCATTTAAAAAATATTATTCTGAGAAGGGATTCACAGGCCTTACCAGACTGCCAAAGGGGTCTAAGACATGCGCAAATAGGTAAAGAATGCTTGAGGAAGAACAGGGTCTGGAGTGAGTATCAAAGTGGATAAAATCACAAGGAGCTGGAAGAACAGACTCTTCCCCACCTGTACACTAGAAGGAGGGGTTTCTAAGCGTTGGATCCAGGTTGCCTTAAATCAACCTGTCTCACCGAGGTAGGGTCAATGACTTTGATTGGACTTGTTCCACTAAAGGTGAACCCAGCCTAGGTGTACACCTAAGCTCCTGAAAGGTTCAAATAAATTCATAGAGAATAGATCCCCAGTGAGTTACTGAGAAGAGAAAGGGAGGTTTGGAGACTTCCTTGACCTCTGAGGATGCTGTCCAAGAGGCTATCACAACCTCCTGTGACTTCCTCTTGGGATCCTAGCAGAGATAGGATTCTAGCCAAGCTAGACCTCATGGAATTTAGAGGTGCTGTCATTTAAAGCATCCCTGCCCTAAGGATTTTCTTTGGGGATGGGTTTAGGTGGAAAGAGGAAGGAATGATTTACACACCAATTCTGTATAGTCCTTGGGTGAAGGTGGGGGTGAGGGTGAGGGAGAGGTCAGTCTTAAAGCATATGTGGCAGGGCTCAACCTAGGGTTTTCACCTACACACGGATACCCCCACTCGACACCCAGACACACATTCCAAGGGAAGGGTCTTTGCACCATCAATCACATCTCCCCCTACTATTCCTCCCTGACACATTCACCTCTGGAATGCTTCCCATATATTTTTATCCCAATTTCAGTGATGCAGCACCGCAGCCAAGCTCGTGGGGACAAACACAGACGCCAGGTTAAGTGTTCCTTCCACGAGTTTGGTTTATTAAGGCAGAACAGGAGAACTAGTAACAGCTACGGCTGGACTTAGCTTTGAAGCAACCAAGCATGATACATCTCCAAGGCCCTTCCAATTCCTAGGGCTCACTTCATCTTCCAAGCCTTCCCACACTGGTTTGAGATTGGGACCTGGAGAAGTCTTACCATATCACCCAAGAAACCCAGCCATGACCAGCCAGTCCTCTCTTTTTAAATGTCTTAAAGATCGAGGGGTGACTGGGACAGATTCTATTCCCATCCACCAAAATTTGTGTGATGGAACTTAGTGGCCAGAGTAATCAAATCCCTTTACCCAAGGTTCTCAGATATTTTCCCAATGATAGATAAAGCCGGGGGAGTAGGGCAAAGAGTTGCTTGGTTCCTCACCTAGAGACCAATATCTGGACCTAATCCTGCAAAGTTCCTGCATCCACTCTCCTTGAATCCATCTGCCTGGTTGGATAGAAAGAGCTGCCGCCATCACCTTCTTGCTCGTGATTTATTCCAGCTGACTGGTCCCCCCTACAGAGCAGCATCTTGCTCTGGTGGAGAAAGTTAGGGCTGGAGAAACAGTAGAGCACAGGATCAAGGGTGCTGTTGAGGTAGGTGAAGGCCAGTGCTCCGTGGAACAGCTCTGTACAGATGTTGAGGGCATGGCAGTCCTTGAATCGCATAGCTAGGACAGAGGCTATCGCAGAGACAATGCTGGGCAAGAAGCAGAAAAAGTAGACAGCAACAACTACTCCCAGGACAAGCATCGCCCGGCGTGCCCCTGCTTTCTTGCCCAGGTTCCGTTGTCTGATAACGAAGATGATGCTGAAGATACAGAAGAGGATGATTCCCAATGGCAGAAAGAATTCCAGCCCATAGAGTATATGGTGCCAGCGCTGGGCGGTAGAGTCTTCAGTGTTTGTTGTAAAGCTGAGGCAAGAGGCATGGGAGTAGAGGGGCTGGGGATTGTTGAGGAGTAGGGGCACATTCATAAACAGGATGAGCACCCACAGCCCCACAGATACTTGGGCTGCTGACCCTGAAGATGCCTTGCTTAGTGTGTGGTGGGGCCATACCACCTTTAGATATCGATTGAATGCAATAGCAGTGAGGAAGACAATGCTGGCTGTACGGTTGGTGGACAGCATGAAGAGGTTAGCCTTGCAGGCACCAAGCCCGAAATTCCAAGTCTGGCTGTGGACATAATAATCCACTCGAAAGGGTAAGTTGATAATCAGGAGGAAATCAGCAACAACTAGGCACAGGAGAAAAATGGTGTTAGACCTCCAAGGTCGTATGTGGAAGCAGAAGATGAAGAGTGCAAAGCCATTGCCCGCCAGCCCCACGATACACTCCAAAGCCAGCACTGGGGCCAGGAAGGCTGACAAGGTAGGGGATGAGCTCAGGTTGCATTGCATCCCTTGCATTGTACTCCTTCAAAGTCTTGGAGAGTTGGGAAGATGATGGTTTGGGCCCCCACAAGATCCCACTGCTCTCAGAGAATGGAAAGTCACTTCAGAATCTCACATCCCCCATCTTGTTACCTTCAGTGACCAGCACGGGTCTGGACATTATTAAAACAATAGAGCTAACTGGAGGCTGGACAGCCAACCCCAGGAAATAAGATGACAATAGTCAATTGTGTAATACCTGTGGGTTTTCATCTTAGGCTCTCACCGCTGATAAAGATCATCTATAGTAGTTCCTACTTTCACCCCCACCACTGTTGTGTTCTAGGTGATCTCCTGAGGGTACCCCAAGCCTAGGATTGGGAGTGTGTCCTCCCCCTTACACCTGGAAAAGGAGACAGAGAGAGAGAGAGAGAGCTGCCTTCTCAAGAGGACATGTATCTAGGGAGGGGTGTTGAGAGATGGCTTGACTCTCTGCCCCTATATTCTTTTAGTCCCCATGGCTAGCATCATTTAATCCTTGACCTGTCCTAGGCTCTGGGATCAGGGATCTGATAATTAGACTTAGGCATGTCCTGAGTTTCTGGGGCTTGGTCCAGCCTCTAGGTTGGGGAAAGCTGTTTCATGGCCCAGCTCCTCTGAGTTTGATTTCCCCAGCTGAAAATGATCACGCCCACCACAAATTTGCTTTGTTTAAACCCTTCCTTTTGGTATTTTATATCATTTATTTGTGTACATGTGTTATCATCCTTCTTAGATTGTAAGTTCTGAGGACAGAAACTGACCTAATTTCATCTTTGTATGCCCAATACCTAGTACAGTTCATGGTCGGTATTTAATAAACATTTGTGAAATTGAATTGATTCGTAGATGAGGGCTTTGCACCAATCAAATCAGATCTACTGTTTGCTGAGCTTGTACTTCAGTTCTAGTAACTAGACCCTTACGTTGTTCATTGTAATTAAGCCCGCTCCGCCTTGTTAACTGTGTTCTTGTCTTGTTTGTGAGCCTGAAGTCACTGCTTTGGTGCCTAATCCCCTTCTTCCCCAGGACCTGGATTCCTTTCCCTGTGACCCCCACTCCTTTCTGGTGGCCATCAGACTACCCCAGTGTCCAACTCAGTTTGGCTGCCAGGACCCACCTGCTGCCCTGCCTGGCTGCATCTTTGCTTATTCAGCCTGACATGGCACTACCCTAATGTAACATCCTTTGACTTTCCCAATCAAGTACCTGCCCATCCCAGTGCATCCTTCTAGTTCCTGAAAGTGATGGAGAAATGAATAGACACAGGGCAGGAAATAAACCAGATCTGTACTGAGTAGGTTAGATAATTTGCCTTCAACAAGGCTCTTGACTGACTCAGTGACCTCTGGGAGATTCTGTTGCAGAGCTGAGTGCCTGATAATTAATAAATGCTCTTAATAAATGTTGGTTAAATTGAATTGAATTGTTGAATTGACTCAGGTTCACACAAGACCATCACATTGATGAGGGTTGTTATCTACTGGTTCCTCAAATTTGTGTTTTTAGTGAATTACAGCCCACAGCACTTGAGCTAGAAATCCCTTCAACCAGGTTCCCATGCAGGAGTGGCCCATGTCATCTGCCAGGGCACACGGAGTTTCTCTTCAAAAAACTGTGGCCATATAAATAATAGCACACATCCTCTTGCACTTCTCTAGAGGTGTCCTTCCCAATCACATTTATTGCAATCCAGAACAATCAGCCATAGATAAATAAGACTAGTTGCTTACAAACAGTGCAAGGGAATCCAAAGGTAGAAATAATATATTAGCAATTAATTTTATTACAATGACTGTTTAAAGCAAAAGTTGGTGAGCTTTCAGAAGGGGCATAACAAATTGCTGACTTGTATTCTCCCCACCCTTCCACCCAAGTGGAAGGGAAGAATAGGGGTGAGGGAGGACAGCAGCAGCTGTCTTACGTGGGAAGCTCACCCAGTTTGCTTAGCTGAACCTTCTGGCAAAGACATGGTTAGGGATACTCCCCGAACAATGCTTTCCTGAGCCTTTGGTTTCTGACAGTCCTGGAGCTTTGGGGAAGGAGGAGGAGTACAATATTCTGTCCCCACCATTTAATGCACATACACCTCTCCCCACAACCTTGGCTGTCCTGCAAGCTATGGTTTGGTTATCATATATTGTCTAGGCCAATTCTTTGTAATTCCTGGATACCCTCCTTCACATGTCATTCCTTCCTCCAGCACCTATCATAAATGCTATCACGTCATAGTGTAAGTCATCATCCATTTAAAAACCATAGCCTAGGATTCTCTAGTGGTGTGTTTCTTTTACCAACCAACCCAATGACACACTAATACAAAGCAGAAGTCATTCAATTAAACAGGGCATCAAGACAAATGACAAAGACTTCCATATACCCAGAGACACATCATGATACCCCAGGTTAACACACCACCAGTGGGGGAGGGTTTACATATGGGAAGACAGATGTGGAAGGGCACACACGTAAGAAATGTAGAACAACTCCTGTCTCCATTGCTGCTGGGCCTGCACAGATCCTCTGTTGACATCACAGGGCCAGCTGCTTTTTCCACTAAAGCTGTCCCCCTCCCTGCTGTGCATAACCTGCTGGTGTCTCCACTGCCCTGCTGATCTCTTCAACCATCTCTTGGTCTGTGGCTACTATCTGGCATCTCGCTTCATAGGAGAGGGCTTGCCAACTCTATCTTGATTGCTCCAGGAAGCATTTAATCTCTTTTGTGATACATACCAAGGCAAACTAGCTAGAGAGGTTGCTAGTTTTAAGTCCATCTTTAATTCATATCATTAAAGGCAATTTCCTTTAGCACATCAACTCCCATAATGCCACTGGTTGCCACTCAAATCAACTTAGAAAGAAACTCAAAGGACCAAGTGGAGCCAATGTAACTGGTGACTTCTGACTCAATTCCTTTGTTCTACACTAAAGAATGCCATTGTTAGGCATTCTTGGTGGCAACAAAATCTCTCCACTCTTATTTCACCACACTCTGGGTAGCACTACATGGTAAGGTTTGGCTGGGTACCAGTTTGGTAGGTACCAGCCATACCTATTTCTCTGCCCACCATATGGTCCTTATGGTCCCTATCACTACCTTCAACTTCAGTGATGAGGGAGAGAAGAGAGGAAAGGAAAGAAAAAGGAATGAGTGTGAACAAGTCATATGACAGTCCCTGGGCCTTTTCCCAGACAGGAAAAATGATGCTCCGACTCATTTTTATACTAGAGAAATGAAAAAAAAGTATCCCTGGATCTAGTTTAGTTCTGCCTTTTGGGAACTTAATAAAAAATTATGACTAATCAAAACCACGAGATTGCCTCTTTCAGCTCAAAGTCCCAAATTAAGGATGAAATCCTGGCTATTTTAGATGGAAGCTCAGATCCTCATCCTGATCTATCTATAGTCCCAGTTGTTCATTGGCATCCTTCAGTACCTTCCTCCTTGCTTGCACTTAAGCTATAGACATGCATCACAAAGGCAATTAAGGTTGATCGTACTTTGATCTGTGAAACAAAAAAATAAAAATATATAAACAGCTTAAAGAAATAAACTGAAAAACTTAAAGAATTCGGCAACAGACACTTCAGACAGAGTAGTTAAACTTTTTGCATTTTTTAAAGCTCTTAAAAGGGTGCTCATAGCCAGCAGCCTCAGTTGATTAGCCATTCCCCTGCTTTTTAATAGGTGGAGCAGAAAGCAGATGAAGTTCTAGCCATATGAACACCCTGTTGTTAGTCTGCATTCAAAGTGCCTACCATCTTGCTATGCTCCACTCACTACTGTTGCCAGTGATTACCCCCCTCCTCTGTTGCAGATGGATAAAAAAAAGTCCAATCGAGATGGAAAAATCTCCCCTCCCTAAGCCCCCCACATATAGATAATACTAATCTATCCCAGGGCTGGAAGAGGACACTGTCTGGAACAGCTCTCAGAATTCACAGGTTTCAGAACTTTTTCCTGGCCTATTGGGAAAGCACGCATACCTTGATTACATTCTTGTTACCTAATCCTCTGGACTACTCTTCTTTGCTAGTTTGCTAAACATTTACGCTGAGATCAAGGCTGGTCTCTCTTCCTCAGTTGCTTCAGTAATTGGAAAAGTAGATTGCTCATATCTGGGATCCAAGTTTATTCTTCAATTTCAAGTAGAAGTTGGCAGCCTGATCATGGTTTGAGCCCATGACCCTCTGCTCATTTCCCCTAAGATGAGCTTTTTCTTCCAGGTCCGTAGGTCTTCCATCACCTAATTGTCCACATAGCTGCATGACCATAGAAGATAATCCTCATATTCCTGAGCTGGTTTCCCCTCTTCTTCCTCTCTTAAGGCTACAATCTCTTTTACAACTCCACCTTTTAACAATTCCAAACTCTCGTCAGGGATTTGACCTTTAGCAAAAGTATTAACAAAAAGCTTTCAAAAGAAGAAATACAAACTATCAATAATGAAATGAAATGCTCCTTTATCAATAAGATAAATGTAAATTAAAACAACTCTGAGGTTTTCTGTCATCCATCACACTGGGGGAAAATGAAAGACTGAAATATTCAAAGTTCAAGAGCTTATGAAAAAAAATAGGCATACTAGTACACTGTTGGTGAAGCTATGCCTAATTGTTTAGGAAGATAATTTGGGATTATTAAAAGATACCCTCTCATCTACTGATCCCACTATTGATCATGTACCCCAAGAAGGCAAAAAAGAGAAAAAAGATTTCACATATATTAAAATATTCTTATCAGGCACTTTTGTGAGAGAAAAAAAACCAGAAACTAAGTGGATGCCTCATTGATTAGAGAATGACTGAATTAAATGAGGTATATGAATGTAAGAGAATATTATTGCATCATGAAAAATGAAGATGAATTTAGAGAAATATAGTTAGATTCCAATGATCTGATAGAGTTGAGAAAGCAAAACCAGGACAGCAATATACTCAATGACTACAATAACATAACCGAATAAATGGCATACTGATACATTATTGGTAGAGTTGTGAATTGGCCCTATTGTTCTAGGAAACAATTTGGAATTGTTCATACTCTTTGACGCACTAAAAGGCAACTGAACTCAGATTTATTACAATGACCAGTCTTGGTTTCAGAGAATAGATATAGAAACACACTTCTTTCCTCTAGGTAGAGAAGTGAATCATGGAGTGAAATGTTGTACAGTCTGTCAGACATGGTTGCTTTGTTGGTCACTTTTTCTTAATTTTTTTTTTTGACACAAAAGGAATGAGAGGTATATTAGGGAATGATTGTGATATAAAGAGAATGCAAAAGAGGTAAATAAAACATTAAGGAAAAAAAGATGTCTTGTGTAGGATATGATTTGTGAAAGCCTGCCTAATCCCTTTTTATTGCTTCTCCATGGATCACTGTGTAGAATATTGTGATAAAGATTTTATAGAGATGGGAAAGTAGGCGTATGGATAAATAATTACTCTCTTGGTCAGTTCTTTTTCTGCTCATGATATGGCCAAAGATTTTTTTCCAAGCCTTTGTTATTATCTTCTGTTTCATATACCTTGAAAAATAACCCTCTAATGTCTTCAAAATTATGTTGCCTCTAACACAAATTTCTGTGAATATTTGGTCTAGCCCAGTCGCCCTTCCCATCTTTGTTTTCTTCAGGGTCATTTCCTGAATGTATATTCATATCTTTCCATAATCAGGTATCAGAGTCTAAATGTGGTATCTTCACTTACCTTGAGGATGAAAAAAGTTTGTTTTAAAATTCCATTGTTCATCAGTACATATATTTGAATAGATACTTGACACAGTAAGCCCAACAGAATTGACCAGGAAGAAAACAGGCTAGATTACCTTTGTAAATCATGTGATGCTTTTAATGACCAAGCTTCTCTCTGAAACCAATGGTCATCTTTTTATTTGTTTGTATTTTTCCTTTTCTTTTTAAAGAGTTTTTATTAATTTTTATTTTTTAATTAACAAGGTTTAAAAGAAATTTGTCCTTCCTACTGCTTTCCCCACCCCATTTTAGCAAATGGAAAAAAAAATATTGAAAGAAAGTTCTCAATATATAACTTCATAGTGAGGCAAATCAAATTCCCACATTAGACATGAATGACCATCACTTTAACAATATTCTTCTGATGGTGCTATATGGATTTGTGTAATGGAATCTCCAAAAAATTAAAGTTATGAGCCACCCAAAAGGCAATGGAGAGGTTCATGGTGGACAAGAGCAGGCTACAATGCATTACCAGCAAATAGATGAGGTGTTATAACAGAAGTGTCATAAAGGTTATTATTAGAAAGATGTATGTATGGAAAAGGTGAGTTGGTTAGATAGCAAGAGTGAAAGACAAACAATGGGCAGCCCTTGTCCACTGGTATGTGTGAAATGACAAGAGCTCTAATGAAAGGCCCTAGCAGATTGGGTGGACTTCCCCCCCCCCCCCCCCATGATATAGTAAGACATGAACAAGAGTCAATTAGAATGAGGAGCCAAGGTTGGATTTCAGCCTTCAATGCTGGAGGGAGTGTCCCACATCAATGAAATCACATCCTTGTCATCAAAGAATATGAAACTATGTTTATTTCCAAATTCATGAAGGAGAACAACTATCAGAATAGAGGTGGTAGGAGAGATGTGAGTGCTAGAGATGGATGATGAATCTGCAAAGCCCATTTATCAAAGTTTCTCCTACACCAGGTTTTATTAAAGGAAGAGGTAAGGAAAAATAAAAATGAAACTGTGATTTACTTAAACCAGTCTCCCTTTTGGAATCTCCCTAAGATCTTACCTTCCGTACAGATAGGTGAGAAGAAAGAGGTTAGCATTTAGGTTCCTTTATTATGAGGGCCCTAGGTGCTTTGGTTTAGACATCATCTGATTACCAGATTAACTAAGGCCCCTACACAGTTGGCCAGAGCCATAGGCTCCATACTGGGCAGCCAGATTGGTATGTATGACCAAAAGATATTCTGAACTCTGCAGGAGTTAGCATCCTGGGGACAGTAGACTGAGGGCCTCTCCTTCCAAAGCCTTCAGGTTAGCAGGAGGCCACCCCACAAGCTTGGTCTAGACACTAAGGCCATGCTGGAAGTGGCATATGTATGTTTTCTGGCCTCTACATAGGCTTTTTCTGTGATATTTAATTGATAACCGAAACCATCCCCTCCCTTGTATCTCATACACCCCAAAATACTGATATATGTTTCCTTCTGATCCTAAAGGGTCTTGTCATCATCAAATGCCGTTTTGATTCCTGAGAGATTTTTACTCTAGTGACCAAAAATGACTTCCTGTGGTCACCGTGGAATCACCTGTCTCTGTCCTCACCCTTCAAAAGGTAAAAGGTGATTGCTGCCACACAAAAAGGGAGGACTTTAGAGCCAAATTCCCTTGCCTCCTGCACCCTCCTCACTTTGTGCAGGGTAGCTGCTTCCAAAAATCCTCAGTCAGCCAGCCTGAGCCCCTGACTTGTGATGCCCCTGACAGGGGTCTTGCCCTAGGGACTCTTTCCCAATGACCTGGATCCCTGGACACTTACCTGTAGTTAGGGCAAGAGCCAGGGCTGAGTGCTTGTGTCCCATCCCTCCATCTCCCACCTCTCTCTACCTCTGCTCCCTGACAGGGTTGGGAGAACTGAGCAGGGTCACTGGAAATGAATACCATGTGTACACATCATCTCACAGTGACATACATGTATAGACATAATAACATAAACATACCTAGGCACTTAGGAGTTTTCTATGAGTGACTCCCTGTCTCAGAGGTAGAGAAGATTATTGCAAGGATCACAAGATTGTTGTAAACTAAAGTGCTACGTGAAAGTAAGCTGCTATCTCTTACTCCAGTACTCAAGAGGATGTGTAATCTCATGGGTATTTCTTCCAAAGGCCATACGCCATCCATTCCTGCTCTTCCTTGACTTTCTCATCACCTTATTGCATGAGTGTAATTAATAATCATAGCTAGCATTTACATAGTTCTTTAGGGTTTGCAAAGCTCTTTACATGTTATCTTATTTGATCCTCACAAGAGCTCCATAAAGTAGATGCTGTTATCATCCCCATTTTACAGATGAGTTTCATGAGGCTGTCCAGAACCATACAGCTAGTAAATGACTGAGGCAAGATTTGAACTCGGGTTCTTCCTGACTCAAGGTCCAACACGATCCACTGCACCAGTAAGCTGCCTCCCACAGGGTGTCCACCAAAATACTGGGACCCTCCTTATGTTCTCTCATGAGCAAAAGAGTACCACTGTAGCCAAGGGGAAAGCCACTAATTACCCTGCACCTGCCATATGGCCAGACCATCTTCTTGGACTCTGTGATGATGTTTCCCCTTTGCAGCTCCTAGTTTGTAATGTGGGCTGCCCGTGCCTGGCCACCACGAGCCTCTGGGTGATCCTCCACTTGAATTCTTGGGAAACCAGAGGCTTCTGTGACTCACAGCCATAGAACAAGGCCAAGCTGATGAACTGCAGATGCCAGTTACTACTTCTTTATTTCCTCTGAATCACTGAAGCCTTGTGTCCAGTTCTAAGAACTATACTAGAACTACAGCCTAAGTTTGGGCAAGCTTCTAACGGACAGGAACTAGGTGAGGCTTATCTTCGGCATTTCACAAACCCTTCTTGCACAGGCAACAACTTTCACAACCCCCACGTTTTTTGCAATTCACAAACTACATTAAGATCCAAGCTTCAGATTAGGTGGCCTTTGAGGAGGCCAACTCTGGGATCCTAAGATTTTGTAATATATGTTAGACACTAGGGGATTCATAGGATGAGAGATTTAGGGGTGGAAAGTTCCTTAAACGTGGAGTCTCATTTCTATTTTGCAGATTAGAAAATTGAGGCCCAGAGAAGTTAAGTCATTTGCCCAGGGTCACACAGCTAGTGTCTGCGGCAGGATTTAAATCCAGGTCTTCCTGACTTCATGTTGAGCACTCTCCAGGTTATTTACTAGGAAGCTTACTATCAAACTGAGGGGGTAAGATGTATACAAATAGAAGGCAAAACATAGTAAGAGCCATACAGGGGAACAAGCAGGAGCCAGCACAGAGAAGAATGGCAAGGTCAATTTAGTCTATGGCTGTTTGATGGGATATGTTTTATTCAATGAAGAGGGCACAAAGACCATCCATTATTATTGGGGTTTACTTCAGTGGCTTCTTGTTGTCCGGATTCTGGGTCACTGCCAAAGCCACACAATCCTTAGCTCGCTCCCAGAGGTACCTAGAGAGACAAAGGGATGCATGGTCACATGCAGATAATAGACTCCCCAGGGAAGTACCAGAAGAGGACAGGTGAGTGGGAGAGATCACTGAGGACCATAATGGGGAGGCAGATAATAGCTCCTAGGGAAGGGAGGAAGAGGTGTTCCCGGCAGGAAGTGTCTCTGGCAGGGGCCATCCCAGAGAGAGCTACTCACACGGTGCCTTTGGGCACAAGGAGGCTGTCATCTGGTGCCAGGCTTAGGTTCTGTCCCCCAGTGGTCACCACTGAGGACCCTTCCTAAGTCAGAAGAAGCAAGAGGAACTTAAGAACTCCAGACGAGTGGACTATTGCCACGTCCTGTAACTGAATGGGCCACTAGGACCGAGCTTCTCACTGGAATCAGACTGCACTTAGCTCTTCCTAGGTGTATTTATATGCCATTCTGTATGTACATTTTCCAGAGGGTAATCACTGAGAGCCAGACTCAGGTCTCTTTGGGTTTGTCCCAGAATGAGAGCCCCTAACAGCATATTGTCCCAGATTGTAATTTCCCAAGGATGGAGATAGCAAATAAAGATGGTTCTTTCTGGACATTCCCCCTTTTTTTAAGGGCTCTGAGTCTCTGAAGGATTAGCCCAAATCCCCATGTGGTTAGTTCTCTAACCTACTCAGCCATGGTCCTATCAACCTCATGCTAGGAACCTTACCAGCTGCCAAAACCACATGTCCACACCCAATTTAGAACCTTGGCTGCTGCCAGATCCATAGATTGTCACCTGTTGGGGAGAGAGGAAAGCACATGTTTCTGTGGGGCTCTGATTCATCAGCACCGAGAAAGGCTCTCCCTCTTCTCAGTCACATTGCAGTCTCTGGTCCCAATACTTTGGAGATGCACAGACCAGGCTCAGGAGCTTCTAGAAGAAGCCGAGCTCTTTGCCAAATCAGCTAGTTAGTATGACTATCAGACAACTCCTTTCCATAGCCTTCCTGATGTGGGGATAAATTTCAGACTTGTCCCTTTCAGGGAACTGCTTTCACACTCTTCAACAAAACACCCTTACAAGGACACTCGGCTATACTCAGATGCATATACCCACACAGACATGTGTATTCACATGTGCCCCCATCCCATCATAGGTACACAGGTACCCATTCATGCTAGCTCCCACTCTGTGACTCTCCCTCCTTTCATGTTAGCAGGCCTGCCCCAAAGAAGGTCATGTGTTCCTGACCTGTGTCTGATACATGTCTCCAAACAGGCTGAGAGTCCTCCCTGCCTCCAGCTCCCCACGATGGTCGGCCAACCATTGCCGAAGGGCCACTGGCTCCATGACAGCCCTTGTGCTCAGTGGGAAGGGTGGCTCTTTGAGCAGCTGGTCTACAACCCAGACCAATGAGTTAGTGCCCCCTCAACACCATCCACAGAGTCCCCTGACCCCTCAGCATTGCCTGATGAGCCCTAACTGGGACTAAGTGACTGCTCAGATTTCTGAGATGAGTTATACAGAGACAGCAGAGCAGCAACAACCATAGTAATTCCTATTTGGTGGGGTTAATGGTTTTCAATGTGACTTCTCTCAGAGGCATGTGGAAACTGAAGGGCTTTCCATGCCCAAAGGAATTCATTCCTAATGGGGAAATTTCAGGCATTTTGGAGGGATGAAGGAGAGAACTCTCTGGGGTTCCTAACACCTCATGTAGGCTTTTGAGGAAGATAAAAAGGAGAACCTTCTGGAAGAAGGATGATTCCCCATCCGAGATCCAGCATCCAGAACATAGATCCCACCCCACCCCATTTCTCCCCATGGAGAAAGATCCCTCAAAACTTCCTCACCCAGGCGGGGTTTTCCTGTCTTGTACTGCTCAGAGTTGAAAAATCTGAAGGTAAAAACATGACACACAGGTAGGTGAGAGACCCACACAAAAGTATTTGTGTTCATACCCACCCCACCTTTTAACCTCCCCTCTTGGGTTCTCTTTCATCACATACATGTCACACACAGCTGTGTCCACATGTGAGAAGCTGAGGAGGCACAGAGATGAGGCATGAAGTAAGCTACATGCACAGCCTCATGGGTATCATGCAGGAATCCAGTCATTCCCTTACATTCATTCTCCACCTCCATTCCTACCATCACTCCTTTGAGACTCTCTGATTCTCTCCTCCTTTATGCCTCACTTCTGGTGAGAGTGTTTTTGACCCTTAAGAATCATGGGGTGTAATGAAAGACAGTCTTGGAGGAGGAAATGGATTTTTCTTTCTAACTTTCAAAACTTGGTCCCTCCCCGCAGTAAGGCTTGTTCTAAATTTCTAGCCACAGCACCAGGGCCTGAGACTACCATCCTTGACCTAAGCATAATGTGCTGGGGATGAGGCAGGGGAGAGGAGAAGGGCAAATGATATTTAAAGGCAGCTGGTGAAGTGGAAAAAGGACTGGATTTGGAATCAGAAGACCTGGATTTGAATCCCACCTCTACCCCTCAAAACCTGCAAAGGCTTAAACAAGTCACACTTCACCTCTCTGGGCCTTGGCTGTCCTGAGAAGTGTTGCATTAAATAAACACAAAGGATGAGATGACCTTCTGGCTATAAATCAATGATGCTACCTGAAACCCCAAGACCATTAGGGAGTCAGGGGCTGAAATCCTCTCCTCTCCATCCACATCTCTCCCTCACTTACTCCTGGATGATTGGTGCTAGCTGTGTGCCAAGATCCTCACAGTAGAACCACTTCTCAAAAAGGACATTTGTTGTGTCTCCAACGTAGAATCTGCAGAGAGGGAAGGTGTGTGTCAATGAGCTCACCTATATGTGTGTGGGGGGGCAGGAAGGGACAGGTATCTTGTACTCTCTGCTGCTCACTGACTCAACATGGACTGTCTGAAGTTCTGACTACGGATGTGCCTCTTGACTGCCTGCCATTGGCCCTGAACTGGACGTAGGGCAATGATGGCTAAGCTCTTCTACCTCTAACTCCCTCCTCCCTTTTACCTCCCAACCTCCTGCAAAAGCTCATCCTAGAGATGGGAACCAGGGTGCAAAGGAGGAGTCATCCTATCACCCCCTCTCCCGGGTTCCCTTGTCCCACAGGCCATAGACCACCCCCCCCAAAGTGCCCCAACCCTGCTTCTTTGTGACTGCTGTCACGGCTTCACCAGTGACTCTGATGGTGCTCTCAGGAGCCTCTGCATGCTGCCATTTTTCTTCCCTGAAGGTAGGTCCATTCTCTCCCCCCTCCCCCTGCAAGTTACCCCTTCCCTCTTTGTTTCCTTGCCTGAGAGGAGGGTCAGGGCCCAGACTTGGTGCAGGTCTTTTAGAAAGACTCTTCTGGGACCAAGTTTCCCTAAGCAGAGTTTGTGGTCCTAATCTGCACCTCTCTTAACTCCCCAGGGGGAAACAGGACATTAGACCCAAAGGAGGAGAAAGAGAGTGGGATGTAAGGCAAGTCCCAATCTTGTTTCTCCATCCTCTCTCCCTTTTGTAGCCCATTGCCTGTAGAACCTCATGTCACCAGACTCCCCAAGAGATCCATGGATGGATTTCTGTGAATTTGAATGGGGAATTTTTTTCATTAACCTTCATTTTCCTTTGTGAGCCTTTATATTCTATTTTCTGTACTTTAAAACAAGACTCTGAGAAGAGATCTATAAACTTTATCAACCTGTTGACAAAAAAAATGATTTCCAGAAGAGATGAAGAAGCCCTCCTTTAGGAAAATGGCTAGGATAACTCTGAGCTTCATCCTGTGGCCCAAGTCTATTGCTCCTGTCTGGATCCCAGCAATTTCTCTGTAGCTACAATGAGAATTCCTAGCTAGGTCTCGAAGGTCCTGTGATTCTATTCTACTCCATTGTCCAGAGCACCAGAATACCATATTGGGACTGTGTGTGACCATTGTGGGAGTCACCGTTGTTACTGTACAATGGTGCAGGGTGTCTGGGGTTTAGGAGGTCGCTGAGCTCACTCTACACTCTTCCTACCCATAGATAGTACAAATGAGATAATATTTGTAAAGTGCTTTGCAAACGTTAAAGTACTATATAAATGCCAGTCATTATTATTCACTTATTGTTATTGTTATATGCAGTCCAGCGGTGCACATTCCTTAGCCTAGCACTGACCCATCCTGTTGTTAAATAAGGGATTTCAAATTCCACAACCTTCCCCTGACTTCCCAATATGTCTATCAGCCGGAAAACTTTTCCAATGGGTCAAATTTGAGCCATTTGCTCACGGTAGGTGGTCCCTTCTCACCCAATGACTAAGCAGTGCTGTGATGACTCCGACCCTTGGACAGAAGCGTTCCCACATTTTCCCTGGTGGTTCCCACAGGTGGAAGCCTGTGCCCTAAAATCCAAAGGAGGTGGAGGATAGTTACCTGAGCCCGTCTACCTCTGTCTTCAGTCTTTCTCGCTCTATCACCAGCCCCACAGTATTGGCAAACCTCTGCGGGGAATGGGGAGTGCCAGCTGGCAGGAGGAATATCTGGAGGTAAGACAGGAAAGAACTTTTGATAGTCAGTAGGGACAGTGGCATCAGCTAGGGCTTCCGCCACCACACTTGCTAAGTTGGGGGTGGGGGAAGAAGCTGGCAGGAGGGTCGCTACTCACCATGGGTTAATTTTCCTTGGCCAATCACATTTCACTTTGAGGAAAAAGGAAAGACCTAAGGCCAGGCAAAAAGGGGCTATGGACCAAGTGATTCATGTGGCTGTGCATGGGCTGAAAGGGAGCCAGCAGTCAGAACTGACAGCAGAGAATCCAGGGGATAGGTATGGTGTGGACGTATGGGGCCCTCTAGTGGATTACAAGATGGTGATCAGCTCTGTAAGTATACCCCCAGTCACAGAATCACAGAATTTGAGAGCTGGAAGGTTCCTTAATGTTCCTCCGTTTCATCCAACTCATACCCAAAAGGAACCCCAGCACCATACTTGAAGACTCCAAGGAGGGGGTGCCTCCTTGAGACTTCTGAGTTAGCCCTTTCCTCCTTGCCTAGATCTTCTAGACTTCCTAAGCCTACCCTCATGCCCCTCCTTATAGAGATAGACTTGAAACACCTTCTCCCAAGGGTATTCCCCAGATCCTTCCCTATTCAGCCATCCTAGGGTCCTCAAAAGGAGAGCTACCCAGACCCAGGATCCCTCCTTTCACCTACCTCCCCCTGGCGGATGAGCACATCTCGGTGTTGGCCTTGCTCCAAGATCTTGAGAACCATGTGGCCTTCAATCTGATAAAAGAGCTAAGGCAGGAAGGAGTGACTTAAACCCTCACCACTGAAAATGCCTTGAGTGTTTAGGATACCTTGATGTATCAAAACCTTACTACTGTCCAGGGCTGATGGCATTACCAGGAATAACTAAAAATTGCCCTAGTGTTCTGGTGGATTTACAAATGGCTTAGGAGCCTCCCCAGCTTCAAACACACACACACAGACCACAATGGACACACCACAGACCACTGCAAGCATGGAATGGGTATATGGATGAACCACAGATACATAATGAACATGTCAAGCAGATGCTACAGACATGTCAAGGCCATACCCTCAGCCAAGGAGGCAGTGTAGTGCAATAGAAGAACCAGCGGACTCGCAGTCAGAAGATCTGTGCTTGAGTCCCAAGTCTACCACTTGTGACCTTGGGCAAGTTGCTTGACCTCTGTGAGTCTCAGTTTCCTTATCTGTAAAATGGGAATAGTCATATTTTCACTACACAGAGTATCAGGAAAGTGCTACATGAATGTAAATGTCTTTGGTGAACTCTGAGGTATTCCTGCTTGTAGGACCATATAAGAAACTTTCCTGAGTTTTCAGTGACTTGATGGAAAGAGCCCCAACTAGCCAGGGTGGGAGTAGGCAGAAGCTTGGAAAGCTGTGAGGCTGACCACTGGGATGCTGTGGGGTGTGAGTCTTCTTCTATCACTGTAGGGAGGGGAAAGCAGCTGTTCTCCAAGAATTTTATTCTAGTCATGGTTTTCTTAAATGGCTAATTAATAGTGTTTACTGAAATCAGCCCTGAGGCTAGAAAAAGGAGGAGGAGGAAAAGGAAAATGAGGAATTTTCTTTTCCTCTGTCACATAATCTATGGACTCTAGCAACACTTGACAGACAGACAGACAGCAGGGGTCTTGCTGCAGGACCCACTGAGAGAAATCTGGCCAGAGTTTGAAGAATAACAGGCTTCTGGCACAAGAATTAAATGTAAAAAAACAAGCAGATCTCCCCAACAATGGGGCAAAGGCTCTGGAAGATCCTGATGGGATGACATTGACCTAGGGCCCTTTCTCCAGGACTGGAGTGAGAGCAACAGGAGAGGAAGAAATAGAACCTGAGACACAGCATATTTAGCCCTTGGATCTTTGTGGGGAGCCCACATTTTTAGGCCCACTTTTTGGACATTTGAGAAGGAGGCTGCAACCCAATGAAGACTTAGAATCTGAATTTTCTTAATGATCTTAAAGAGAAAGTCCCAAGGGAGAAGGGACAGACCTAATTCCCCTCTTGGTTATCCATCCATAGTGGGAAAAGGGAGAAAAGGCATGGAGTCTTGGAAAAAGCTCTGGATCTGGAGTCAGAGGTTGTTCTTTCTCAATCATTCAGTCATGTTCAACATCTTGTGACCCCATGGACCATGGAATGCCAGGCCCACTATCTCTGAAATCTATCCAAGTTCATGCTCATTACTTCCATGACACTATTCATCCATCTCATCCTCTGCCATCCCCTTTTCTTTTTGCCTTCAATCTTTCCCAACATCGGGGTCTTTTCCAATGAGTCCCACCTTTTTATTATGCAGAGTATTTCAGCTTTAGCTTCAGTATTTGACTTTCCAGTGAATAGCCTGAATTAATTTATTTAAGTGTTCAAATACCAGCTTTACCACTTAATAGCTGGGGGAACTTGGGCAAAACACTTTACCTCACTGGGACTCAGTTTCCTCATCTGTAAAATGAGGGATGTTGGACTCAATGACTTCTAAGGCCTTTCCTAAATATAGAATAATCCCCCAAGAATAAATAATCTAAAAGAGCAGTTAACAACACTGCCCCACCCCTTCACCAAAAAGGAAGTTTTTGGTTTCAGAAAGAAATAGAAAATAAAATACCCAAAGGCTACCACGGACAAGAATATTTAGCTTTTATGTAGCACCAAAGTTTACAGATGGGGAAACTGAGGCACAGAGAGGTTATGTGACTTACCCAAGATCACATCCCTCATAAATATCCAATGTAGTATTTGAACTCAGGTCTTCTTAACTCTAAATCCCAAACTTTAACCACTGCACCACTTATCTGTATGTCTCCACATTTATCTTTCTAGATGGTACAGCAGATAGAACATCTGGAGTCAGAAAGACCTGAGTTCAAATCTAGCCTCCAGACGTTTACTTGGCTGTGTGACCATAGGCAAGTCACTTTACTTCTATCTGCCTCAGTTTCCTCATCTGTAAAAGGGGGATAATAACAACACCTACCTCCCAGAGTTGTTGGGAGGCTAATAATTGTAAAGTGCTTAGCACAATGCCTGGCCTATAGTAAGCACTATATAAATGTTGGCTATTATGATTATTATTATTCTGTCTGGTTCAGACCAATACTGAACTGGGTCTGTCTTTCCTCGATTCATACCAGCTGATTGGGGCAGCAGGTGGGGAGAGGGAAAGGGAGCTGTGCTGAACACCATTGGGAGCTTCTGCTTGTTTGATCTAGGGCCCAATTATTAATTTAATTTTTAAATTTAATTATTAATTTTTAAAATTTTAATTACAATTTAAAATTTTAATTATTTAATTAAATTTATTTTTTTATTTTATTAATTTATTTTGATTCATCAACAATCACTTCCATAAGCTTTTGAGTTTCAAATTTTTCTCCCCTTCTCTCCCCAAGATGGTGTGTAATCTGATATAGGCTATATATATATATATATATATATATATACATTCCTATTAAACATATTTGTGATGTTGCACATAAGAATTAGAACTAATAGGAGTAACCACCAGAAAGAGGAAACAAAACACAACAGAAGAAAAAATAGCAAATAGTATGCTTCAATCTGCATTCAAACTCCACAGTTCTTTCTTTGGATGTGGATAGCATTTTCCATCATAAACCTTTTGGGGATGTCTTAGATCCTTGTACTGCTGAGAAGGGTTAAGTCTGTCAAACTTAGTCATTGCACAACATGGCTGTGTACAACATTCTCTTGGTTCTGTTCACTTCACTCAGCATCAGACCATACAAGTCTTTTCAGGTTTATTTGAAGTCTGTCTGTTCAGCATTTCTTATAGCACAATAGTATTCCATTACATTCATATATCACATTCAGAATTATAACTATCTGTGTCTTTCTCTTCATCCTTTCCCCCCCATTTATGCTTTTCTTTCTCCTTTCTCCTTTTCCCTCCTCACTAATGTTTTGCTTTTGACCACCATCTCCCTCAGTCCCACCTCCCTTCTATTAGCTTTTCTTCCTTTTTCCGTTTTCTTTCCTTTTCCCTCCTACTGCATATGGGGCATGTTAGATTTCTATACCTAACTGATTATGTTATTCCCTTCTTTCCCTCTGCTGTAATGGGTTTTTGTGCCTTTTCCTGTGATGTAATTTACCCTTGTCTGCCTCTTCCTTTCCTTTTCTCTCAGTACTTTTCTTAGTTAGATCAGATTAATCCACTTACTTGGATCCATTTAACCCACTTGATTAGATTTTTTCATCATTACATGAAAGTCAATTTATACCCACCCCCTTTATGTATACTCCTTTAACATGGTGTAATAACAATACAGTTCTCAAGAGTTACAAGTGTCCTCTTCCTATGTAGGGATGTAAACAGTTTGCCCTTATTAATAACATATTGTTTCTTTATGTCCCGTTTATCTTTTTATGAATCTCTTGAGTCTTGTATCTGAAGATCAAATTTTCTGGTGAGCTCTTGTCTTTTTATCAGGAAAGTATGGAAGTCCCCTATTTTGTTGAATATCCATCTACTCCCCTGGGAGAGATCATGCTCATTTTCTCTGGGTTGTAATCCCTGGTTGTAATCCAAGCTCAGTAGAAGCTGCAAGGTCCTGTGTAATCCTGACTGTGGTTGCATGCTACTTAAATTGTTTATTTCTGGCTGCTTGCAGTATTTTCTCTTTGACCTGGCAATTTTGGAATTTGACTACTATATTCCTTGGTATTTTCAATTTGGGATCTCTTTCTGGAGGTGATAGGTGGATTCTTTCTATGGCTATTTTACCCTCTGGTTCTAGGACCTCAGGGAAGCTTTCCTTTATGATTTCCTGAACGATACTGTCCAGTATCTTACTCTTTTTTTTAATCATGATTTTCAGGTAGACCAACAATTTTTAAATTGCTTCTCCTGGATTGATTTTCCAGGTCAGTTGTTTTACCAATGAGGTATTCTACATTTTCATCTATTTTTTCATTCTTTTGTTTTTGTTTGACTGATTCTTGCTCTCTCAGAGTCATTAGCTTCCATTTGCCCAATTCTAGTTTTTAACAAATTGTTTTCTTCTTTCCCCATTTCCTCTTTCCCCATTTAGCCAATTGTATTTTTTAGGGGCTTGTTTTCTTCATTGTACTTTTTTAAAAATTTATTTTATTAATTTATTTTGATTTATCAACAATCACTTCCATATGCTTTTGGGTTTAAAATTTTTCTCCTCCTTCCTCCTCACCACTCTCCCCAAGATGGCACACAATCTGATACAGGCTATACATTTACATTCCTATTAACCATATTTTCACATTAGTGCAGTTACAAGTAAAAATGTAAAAAACCAATAGGAGGAACCATCAGAAAGAGGAAACAGAACTCAACAGAAGAGGGAAAAAAAAGATAGTGATTCAACTTCCATAGTTCTTTCTTTGGATGTGGACAGCATTTTAGTTCATCCCATTCACATTCACAGTTATGATTATTATCTGGGTCTTTTCTCCATCCTTTTCCCCCCATTTATGCTTTTCTTTCTCCTTTCTCCTTCCCCCGCCACTAGTGTTTTGCTTTTGACCACCGCCTCCTTCAGTCTCTCCTCCCTTCTATCATCCCTTTCCCTTTTCTTCCCCTTTGCCCTTACTGCTTCTTCTCTCTCTGCTATCTCCCCTCCCTTTTCTTTCCTCTTTTCCTTCCTACTGCCTATAGGGCAAGTTAGATTCCTATACCTAACTGATTATGTTATTCCCTTCTTGAGCCAAATCTGATGACAGTAAGGTTCAAACAGTGCTCACCCCCCTCCCTTCTTTCCCTCTTCTGTAATAGGATTTTCTGTCTTTCCCTGTAATGTAATTTACCCTTGTCTGCCACCTCCTTTCTCAGCAGTGTACTTTTTTTTTTTTCCGGTTGGCCAATTGTATTTTTAGGGACTTGTTTTCTTCAGTGTACCTTTTTTTCCAGTTGGCCAATTGTATTTTTTTGAGGCAACTGGGGTTAAGTGACTTGCCCAGCATCACATAGCTAGTGAATATCATGTGTCTGCCAATTATATTTTTTAAGGACTTTTTTTCTACAGTTAATTTTTGTCCTTCCTTTTCCAAGCTATTGACTTTCTCTTGCATACCTTTCATTTCTTTTCCCATTTTTTCTTTTACCTCTCTCATTTGACTTTTGAAATCCTTCTTGAGTTCTCCTAAGAAGGCTTTTTGGGCTTCAGACCAGTTCATATTCCCTTTTGAGGTTCCAGATGTGGGTTTGTTGACAATGTTGTCCTCTTCAGAACTTCTGCCTTGATCTTCGCTCTTCCCATAACAAGAATCTATCGTACGTTTCTTTTCGCTCATGATGTTTGCTTATTTCCTGGCCTTCAAAGAGATTGAGCTCTACTACTGGGGAGCAGAGGGCACTGAGCCATGCTTCTTGTGTTGGGAGCCTAGGGCCTGGTCGCTGGCTTTGTGTGCTGGGGCCTCCAATGTTGGTAGTTGGAGACTGTAGGATTCTAGAAGCTTACCTAATGTTGGGCTGGAATCCGCAACACTGAAACTCTAGGGGTAGGATTGGGTAGTGTGGAACCTGAAGATTTCCTGCTTACCCAGACCTTTCCTTCCTTTGGCTTTCTTCAGCTCCCTTCAGATGGATGTTGTAGGGTATTTATCTGCCTGGGGCCCCTTGGATGCTGCTTTCCAGAGTTTTGCTGAGGCACTGAGAGAACCGGTTGCTGTAGAATGCCAAGGCACCTGGTAGTTTTCTGAGCTGGTTTCCACTGGTTCACCTGCCCTCACTGAGGCACTCGAGGGTCCTGGTGTTGATGTTTGCCTGCTCCACCACCTGGCTTTCAGGATCTCCTCCTGGTACGCTAAGGTGGGGATTTCAGCTAGCTTGCTGGGACACCTCCTATTCAGTATTGCTCCCTTCCCCCAGGGCAAGAGGGGCCTTTCCCGCTAATCCCTCAAGCTACGTGGGCTACTAGACTGCTGCACCCCATCTTTCCTCCAGTTTAGCTGCTCCAGGGTTTTTCCTGGGGTGATATTTTTTGGGCTTTCAGGGATTAACAAGGGAGGGTAAGAGCGATTTACCTCTTACTCTGTCATCTTGACTCCAGGAAGCGGAAGTCCTATTAAATTTAACTTAATTAAATTTAATCCATTGAAGTATTAAAGCAATCCACAAATCAGCACATCATGAAGCTCTTTCAGACATCCCCTTGGAGATCATGTCTGGAGTGCTGTGGGATGATGTCTTGGTCCTTGTATGGCTGCAAGGGACCCATTTGTGCTGCCAGTACCCCTACAATCCCCTCAGGTCAATTTCCCAATGAGCCACAAGAGAATAACCATCATAATCACAATAGCATTTATAGAATACATTATAGCTTGAAAAACACTTTATGTAAGTTATCTGATTTGATCCTCACAACAACTTTGTGAGATAAATGCTATAATTATCCCCATTTCACGGATGAAAAAACTGAGGCTGAGAGAGCTTCAGTGACTTGCCCAGGGTCACAGAACTAGCTATGGCTAGCTGAGACTCTCAGAGTGTCTCCAACTCTCCATGGATTAGGGTTCTTCTCTATCACAGAAGGAAATTCCAGCTTCCCAGCCCCTAGGACTATGATAAAGGGAAAGAGTGCATTGTATCTAACCCCTTCTCTCTGAGTGCAGTTCCTCACAACTCCCTGCTTCAGTGGGCAGCTAGCTCATAGGCCTCTCTGGAACTAACAGCTTGTTCTCTGACTCATAAAAAGAGCAGCATTTCTAACCTAAGGGCGTCTGCCTGGGCTGTGAGCATTTTTACATGCAGAGCTGACATTTGGCAGTTATTTTGGGGTAAGCGTGTGGCAGCAATTATTTTAATTCCCTGTGATGTTATAGTGCTCATTACAGATTCCCTCCACGTGCCCTCTCATTTACTGCTTTTTCTGATCAGTCCAGTGAGGTAGCCCAAGGTTCTAGGCAGCTTCTCTCTTACACCGTCAACTCAGAGGGTTCTGGGAACACAATGGAATTGGCGTATGTGGTGGGGGAGGATCTTTCAGGGGGCGGGATAAAGAAAGATTACGAGCACTAGATTTAAAACTGGACATTAGTGTGTCCTGAGGAGGAAGGTAGATTGAGGAGAGACAGAGTCCATCTGCTAGCCAGAGACAGCGACAACAAACATGAACAGATGAGAAACAGAGAGGCTCAGAAAGACAGACATCAATAAAACCAGAGCCATCTATACATATCATATAGGAACAGGAGAGAGAAAAAATGGAGAGGCTGAATGAGATAGAGACAGGTAGATATTGACAAAGCTTCAACCACAGAGACACAAAGAGATAGAAGAAGGCTAGAGCCAATGATGGTCATTTCTTAACACGTCCAACTTCACTAGAACATGAACATTTTTTTTTTTGGTGGTAACAAAAAACTGGAAATAAAATAGACGCCTATCACTGGGGGAATGGCTAAAGAAATTCTGGTGCATGAATGTAATGAAATATTAGTGTGTTTTAAGAAATGACTATGGGTGATTCAGAGAAATAAGGAAAGATGTGAACTTTGCTTATGTCTTATATAAAGATGCGAAAGGAAAGACAAATACATTCAGGAAAGCAATATGTATGTTGACTCATGACTATATAAATGGAAAGAATGATAAAATCAAACTCAGTGTTAAGTAGTTATATTGACCAGGCTTGGACCCAGAGAAGAGATGGAAATATGTACTTCTCTCCTTTCTTTGGAGAAATAGAGAGGCTATGGGTATGGCAATGATGTCAGACATAGTAGTTTGTGGAAGTCACTTAATAGTAACAGCTAGAATTTATGTAGCACTTTGAGATTTGCAAAGTATTTTTCACATATTATCTCTTTTGGCCCTCCCAACAACCCTGAGAAGTAACTGCCATTATTTTCCTCATTTTACAGATGAGGAAATTGAGGCAGACAGAAGTTAAGTGACTTGCCCAGGGTCATACAGCTAGTACATATCTGAGGCTGGATTTGAACTTGGGTCTTCCTGACTCCAGAAGCTTTAACTATTGCATCATCTAGCTGCCTCTCTGAGTTAACTTATCCTCTCTAAGTTTCCATTTCTTTATCTGTAAAATGAGGAGAATGAACTTGATGATCTTAAGGTTCCTTCTGACTCTGAATCTGAGATCCCCCTTGCACATGAATGAAGCTTGAGGATGTTAAGGGACTTGTCTATGGTCAGGATGATAAAGGAGCCAATGGTCTTAATTTAGGGGAAATACTGGCCTATTTAGGCAGCTAGGTGGCTCAGTGGACAGAGTACTGGGTCTGGAGTCACTCACTAGTTGTGTGACCCTGAGCAAGTCGCTTACCTTCTGCCTCAGTTTCCTCATCCAAAATTAGAATAATGATGGAACTTACTTTCCAGAGTTGTTGTGAGGATCAAAAGAGATATGTGAAAAACACTTTGCAAATCTTAAAGCTCTATTTAAACATAAATGCTAGTTATTATTATAGTTTGTGAAGCCTGTGGACTTTTATTTTTAGTCTTTAGTTGTAAATGGTGGAGCCTAGAATTAAACCCAAATCCCCTGATTCCAAATCTGATACTTTTTCCACTATATGAAGTTTTAAAAAAAAATACTCCCCACTACTTTGTTTCTCTGTCAGACTCAAAAAAAGAGGTTGAAAATTTCCCTAACATCTCCTTAGCAAAGAATTAGTTCAATCTAATCAGCTCTCAATCTCACCTTTCAATTCCCATCCCCTCCATTCATCTTTCAATCCCTTCTTTCAACTCCCATCCCTTCCACTCATTTAACTTGTCTTTACTCAGCCCCCATGATGACATTCAACCTAACACACACACTCAGTAGCTTCTCATTCACAACTTGGATCTTTGGCAGGTGAAGATATGATACAATTTCCAAGGAATTGTTCCTAGGATCAGGGTGCTAAGTACATGAACATCCTTTCCCAGCCTCTCCCCCAATGCTAAGCCTGGGTTTCTGACCACCAGTCACCACCTAGCCTAGCTTTTCCATAGTGTTGTCCCTGTGAATGGTGATTGGAGAGAGGTAGGGGTTGAGGAAGGGACTTCCACATGGAGGTGCACAGCAGATCCCAAGTAGGTCTTGAGAATCCTAGTGTGTTCTGCATAATTGCTAATGATGTCATAATAAATATAACCATCAGAACTTGAGCCACTTGAAGGCACAGACTATACCTCTCTCCTCTATCAGCTTAGGGCTACCTAAGAGTGTAGGTATGAAATAGGATGCCAGAGACGTGGTAATTTGAGGAAGTCAATAATAATAGCCAGAAGCAGGAAGTGAGTGTGTGTGCCTGCAGTGATTATGTACACATTGGGGGGGGGGGATGGTCATGGTGATGATGAGGATGATGATGATGGGGAAGAGCAGAATTTCCCCAGTATATTCAGTAGCAATTATTTTCTTCTGACCAATTCAACACATCATCTCTTTTTCATCCACTTCTCTTACCAGTCCCCACATTTTTGCAAATTGCGTGTTTGGCCTGTATGGAAACAGCTGGATGAATGAATGTAAGTCCTTCCCTTCTGCTTAAGACACAGGGGACATCCCCACCCCTCTCCAGGGCCCATACCTCTTCTCCTTCCTCGATGTGGTAATCCTTTCTTTGGTTTGGGCCTCCAACAAACATGATTTTAAGCTGGTTCTGATGCCTGCAAATAACATATAGAGGGAATGAAGCCAGAGCCTAAGAAAATGGAGGCTGGGCATGAGCGAATAGGGGTTAGAGGACCAGCCCCAAGATGGGATTGGGAAGGGGACTCTCTATAAGCTTCAGAAAAGAATGATTACAACTGACTTCATTTTAAACAATACAGAACAAAAAAACCCCTTAAAAATAGAATCTAATGGAATTTCTTGATTACATTCCACATCACAGCCCTCTCAAGACAATGGTCTTCATTCTATTTTAGTGGTGATTTTTAGCTTCCTTTTCACTTGGTGCTAAGTATGTAATCTAGTTTGCCCCATGTTTGTGTAAACATCTGAGATTGTTCTTGGGGTTGAAAGTCCATTAGGATTCAAGGCCTAATTGTCATACCCTCTCTTTTCTGTCCCTCTACCTTCCCAAACCCATAAGGAAGGTACACAGTGTGGTGACTAGACAACCCAATGAAAGCTGGGGGCAGTTTATGTACTTATTCAAAAGCCTAAGGCCAAACTCTCAAACCAGTAGAAAAAGATCCTAAACCTTTGCCCTTCCCAAAGGCCACTTGGCAAAGGGGAACAGAGTGGCTTTTTTTTTTTGGCTAGTATTCCAGTTTGAGAGATTACAAGGAATCCAACTCCATATACTATGCCTTGCCCCATAAATTCAAAAATCCCAGAATATTGGTACTAGAATGAGCTTTAGAGATCATCTAACCTCATACTCTTCATTTTTACAGAGGACAAGTTGAGGTAAACTGAATTTCCAAAGGTCTTAAATCTAATGGGCTAGAGCTGAGACTAAACTATAGATTCTTGGTTGACAGATGAAAAGGCTTCTAAGAAATAATTTGGGCTATGGTCCCCTAAATCACTAAACTGTGCATACCCTTCAACCCAGAGATAATACTACTAGGTCTCTACTTCAAGGAGATTATGTACAAAAATATTTATAGCAGCTCTTTTTGTAGTGGCAAATAAATGGAAAGGTAAGGAGGTACCCATCATTTGGGGAACACCTGAGCAAATGAAAGCATGAGTATAATGGAATATTATCATATTGATGGGGTATAGGCCCTGGAAAACTCTTCCTGAACTTTCCTTGAGTTTTCTCCTTTTCCCACGTGGTCAAGTCTCTGGCATTCATCTGAGGCATCATCCCAGCAATCCTCTCAACTGGTCTTTCATTATGGCTATGCCCAGTCTCCCAATTCTGTTACCTCACATGGTCAGTTACCTTCTGATTGCCCTAGACACTTTCCACCCTTCATCCTATCTAGACCCTATCCTATCTCCCAGTCACCCAAAACTACTTGGCTTCTCCTAGATCCCTCCCAGAGTCTTTCTATATATAAGATCCATCTTGGCCACCATTCAATCTGGCCCACTTGCATTAGTGATACCAATGTTCAGATTCCTTAAGAGTCTGGTCAATATGGTGAATTTCTAATGAACTTTGTTTTTGCCTGAAAGAAGGCTTGGGTTGAATTCATTCAGGCAGGACCTGGGTGTCACTAAAATCGTCCCAGCACCCCTAAACCTCAACATTTTTGGTTCCCTGACACTGGGAAAACTGCCGAATCTTGAGTTCTTCTCCAATCAAGACTGGAAGGTATGTAAGCCTCTCTCTCCTCCCTATCCCCTTCTTGCCCTGCAATTGGAGTTGCTCTCAAAGTGCTAAGGAAGTCTTGGAAGTGTTTTTCCGGCCTGACTTCTCAGGTCCCATTAGATCAGACAGCTATGAGGTTGTCTCAAACAGCCTGATGCTCTCAGGTTCTCAGTCCAGTGGTTCTGTTTGAGGCCATGGACCTGGGCATACTCACAGCACAGAGGACAAGGATGGACACCCTTTCCAGAAGCATACGCCCAATTCTCTCAATTCTCTCAGTCCTAGGCAACTGGGAAAATTTCAGATACTGTTTTGGGTTTTTTTTTTGTTCGTCTCCCAAGGCTTTCTCCTAGATCCTCCTTTATGGACAGAAGGACTTCTAGCCCCCATGCCCATAATGGGTCAATCCTTTTCAATTCCCAAAAATTCACCTTTGCATTGGTTTTTACAAAATTGGAAAAAATTTAGTTTCTCTAAAGAACTTAAAAAGAAAAGACTTGTTTGCTTTTGCAATACCACTTAGCCTTAGTATCACCTGGAGGACCATGAAGCATGGCCCATATTTGGGACTTTATAATATGATACTCTCTTACAGTTAGATTTATGCTGTCGCTAAGAAGGAAAATGGATGGAAATTCCCTATATGATAGCCTTCGTCAAGCTCTCTTGGGACCCCATTCTCAGAAAAGATGTTAAGATGCTCATAGCTAGAGCTGCCCCACAAAGAGGGAATGGGGACCCATTAAACAACTCCTTTCTTATGGCTCCCAGGGCTTCACCCCAACCCCTTCCTTGCCTCCATTCCCACCACTTTCCCAGCACCTATCCCCACCCTATTATCCACTGGCCCCTCCTGCTGCTCCCCATTCTCCCCTGGACCCTATTACCCATGCCCCACCTTGGCTACCTCCTCTTTCCCTTGGTTTTCCTTTAACCCACATCCTTTTGTTTCCTGCCTCATTCACCTTCCACATCTCCTCCCCTGCACCTCCTCCAATGGCCCCTCCCCCTGTGGTGACACCCATTCAGGTTCTGGCCTTGGGCTCTACCCCCATGGCTGTCCCTGCAGTATGTCCTCTGACCCCTCTTTTTCCTCAGGTGCCAGTTGAACTTTCCCCTTTGCCAGCCAGATCCCCCAGCCTTACAGTGCAATCCGGTTCAGCCAATATTCCCCAAACCCCTCGCTCACAAGAAGTGGGACTTCCTCTCTCCCTTCCTCCCAAGCCCCCATTTCCACAGAGCCTTCAGGGCTTTTTCCTCTAAGGGAAAAAGCTGACTTGCCTAGTGGGACAATTAGAGTCCACATCCCATTCTCTATCTCAGACCTCACTCAGGTTAAAGATATGGTAATTTGCCTGTTAGAAGTCCTAAGAATGGCATTTCAAAAGCAAATACATTTCCAAAAAATTAAGGAAATTACTCAGAGAGAAAAGAAAAAAAACCCTGCCCTTTTTCAAGACTGGCTGGTAGAAGCTAATAAGAAGTATACAAATTTAGATCCTGACTCTATAGAAGGGGCAGTAATCCTTAACATGTATTTCATTAATCAGTCTGCCCCAGATATTATGAGGAAACTGCAGAAATTGGCAATGGGACCCCAAACACCTCAGGCCCAATTACTAAAGAGGGCCTTTGAAGTCTCTAACAACAGAGACCTGGTAGAGGCAGAGGCAGAGGTAGAGGCAGAGCATGCAGGGAAAGGGCTAGAGACAGAGAATGGCTCAATTCTTGGCTGCTGCTATGGCCAGGAAAAGACCTGAGGGGGCTCATGGCAACTCAGGCAGTGGGGAAACCTGCTTTCGATGCCTCAAGGAGGACTACTGGCCCAAGGAGTGACCCTCCAGGGAACCCCTGGGACCAACACTGCTGGGAGGGTGCCCAACATGTGACCAAGAGGGACATTGGAGGAAGGATTGTCCCTGAGGTTGGAAAAGTGGTGGAGTCTCTCCTAAGTATCTCATCCTTCAGTTTTCTCAAGACTGGGAATGACTGGGGAGCCTGGGGTTTGAAAATGCTCCCACTTTCTCCATCTCTCTTGCCGAGCCCTGGGCAAAATTCGAGGTGGAAGGTAAGGTTACCTGCTTTATCATGGCTACATTCTGTTTTAACCAATTATTCTGGTCCTACTCGCCCCTTGACCCGTCAGGTTATAAGCATTGAAAGGAAAACTAAGGGATGTCTCCAGACATACTCCCTCCCCTGCCTATTTGAGGTTTTGTTGTTTGAGCACTCCTTCCTTATGTTCTCCTCTTGCCCTGCCCCCTTGTTGGGAAGGGACCTGATGATGAAGTTGGGGGACCAATTTTTTCTAGTTAAGCTTCCCACCTCCCTTTTCTCTCTGTTCACCAGACCTCCTCATGTTCCCCCAGAAGTGTGGGAGACAGTTGAGCCAATTGTTTAGGATCAGGGAATTCCTGGGCGAGCTACTCATGCCACCCCAGTCATTGTTCATCTCCAAGATACCATCTGGGAGGCTTCTCTGACTGCTGCTGTAGGAGCTCTTAATTTCTTGGGTACTTGAGGCTATAGATAGGATCTCTTTGAACAAAGTCCAAATATCGTGCCAGTCTGTAAAGTATCTGGGCCACAAACTAATGCCCACTTTTTGCCCCTTAACCTCAGAGAGGAAAAAGACAGTCCTGTCTCTCCATGTTCCAGTCACTAAGAAATAACTGCACTTTTCTAGGCATGGCTGTAGACTCTGGATCCCTAATTTTGTTCTTATTGCTAAGCCCCTTTATGACTCTACTGAAGGCCTTGGCTCACTCCCTCTAGAGTGGGGCCTGGGACCAGACTGAAACTTTTGAGTCTTTGAAAATTAAATTGACCACCACTCCAGCATTAGGTCTACCCAATCTAGAAAAACCTTTCACTCTGTATGTAGATGAAAGGAAAGGACAGACTTTGAGGGTCCTAACCTAGTCCTTAGGACCTGACCCCAAGCCTGTTGCCTATTTTTCAAAACAATTAGATTATGTGGCCTACAAATGGCCAATATGCCTCTGGGCAGTGGCTGCTACAGCCATTCTGTTCAAAAACCTTCTGACTGGCAGTAAGCTAGGAGAAGAAAGTTTCACCCTTCCCCCCCTTCTAATTCACCCTCATCCACCTGGCAAAAGGAAGGAGGGGGGGGGCAGCAGCTACAGCGTGTGCCCCACTGGCAATGGCCTTGGGCTCTGGGGCAACTCAGAAAGCTTGGAAGCATCACCCAGGTTTGTGACATCCTGTTCAACCCCCAGTAGCCATGGGGAGAGAGAAGGGGGGATGGGTCAAGGTAAAGAAGCCCGCCAGCTTCTGAACTAAGCCTGCTCTTCTAAAGTTGTAGTTTTAATGTGTTAACATTGAGATGCTGATTCTCTGTGTAAAATAATTTGGAAACGAGCGTGCAACAAAACTGAAGTCATTTGATTGGTAATGGATTTGTTTTAAGTTTCAAATTGGTAAACTTTTATGTATTGTTTTAATGTGTAAACTTACCAAAAAGTTTGTTTGGGTTATGGAGTTCTTAAACAGTGAACTTGGCTTGCTGAGAATTTGCAAGTATATAGAAATAATCTCTAACCACTGGCTTTTGCACTAGGACAAATTTAAATTTGAGGTATAAATCCTGGAACATTTTTCCCTAAGCTATGATTAGTGAAACTTGCTGTTTGAGGTAAAAGCTCATGGGACCATAACTGATTTTATTTTGAGTTATCTGATGGATCATAATAATTCATTCAAAATCAATTATCCACCATTTGAGAGAAATGCCACAAGCTATTCAGAGAGAATGTGATACAGGTGAGAGCTCTGCATCTGGGAAAAGCTGGGAGGACAATTTTAGCCTCAGTCTACAATGAGATCCTCCTGGCTGTTTCCCCATCGTGTTCCTTTGTTCAAAGGAATGTTACCCCACCTGGCTATTCCTGAGACTGGCTATGAGGTGGAATTGATATTGCATCATTGGAAAACTGTGAAGTATCTGAATTCAAACAGAGCTCAGCATGTTTTATCCTATCATATTTGGGCACTAAATCTTTTCCCTGCTTTATCCTTTCATAGCAAATTTCTAGTCAGAGCAAATACAGTAAAAGATATGAGCACAGTGCAAGTGTGTGAGATTTCGCTGTTTTGACAATTTTCTTAGAGAGAAGTAACCCATTTGGCCTAATCATTACTTAAGTATCCTCCCAAGTCTTTTGTAATAATTGAAGCAAAAGTCAGTCTCTGGCAAATTCATTTGTGTAAATATTGAACTCAGGGGTGGAAAACTTCTACCTGCAAAAGTTACTTAAACTTTTGAGAAAGTAACAAGATCAGATAATCCTGCAGGTCAAATGTAAATGATTTTAATGGGGCTCTTGCACTTTTACTTCTCTCTATATCTGGGCCCTGCAGACTTGCTTGTCAGATTCATGTCTTCCAGACCACAGGCCATTCACCTAAAGTTGGTAGCAAACAGTGGGTACCAGCCAATGTCCCCCCATCATCCCTTGGATGCAGCCTGTGCTCTGTTCCAATCAACCTCCTCTTTGGGACCACTTTGAGGCAGGGACAGCTCTATGCCCCTTGCTACCAGGAAGCAGTTTAGCAGTTTCATAAGCCAAGACTTTTTGCCCCTTACCCCAAAAGAATTTGGGCCCATTTGTTTGAGGGGGAAATGACGGGGGAGAGGGGTTAAGGGAGAGGAAACCCCTCCCTGAACTTTCCTTGATTTTTCTCCTTTTCCCACATGGTCAAGTCTCTGGCATTCATCTGAGGCATCATCCTAGTAATCTTCTCAACTGGCCTTTCATTGTGGCTATTATCAACTGGCTATTTATTGTGCCCAGTCTCCCAATTCTATTACCTCACATGGTCAGTTACCTTCTGATTGCCCTGGCCACTTCCCACCCTTCATCCTATCTAGACCCCATTCTATCTGCCACTCACCCCAGCCTACTGGCTACTACCATCAAGATTCTCCCTAGACCCCTTCTCCCAGTCACCCCAGACTACTTGGCATTCTCCTTGATCCCTCCCACAGTCTTTCTATGTATAAGATCCATCTTGGCCACCATTAAGGTGATCAGATTCAATCTGGTCCACTTGTATTAGAGTTACAAATGTTCAGATCCCTTAAGAGTCTGACCAATATGGTGGATTTCTAATAAACCTTGTCTTTGGCTGAAAGAAGGCTTGGGTTGAATTCATTTGGGCAGGACTCATGTGTCAATATTTTGGGATCCCAGCACCCCCAAACTTCAACAATGTCATAACAAATTAGAGAGAGACCAGTTTCAGAGGAGATTTATACACAGTGAAGTGAGCAGAACCAGCAAAACAATTTATACCATAAAGACAATATTGTAGACAAAACAACAAACAACTGTGAAAGACTTCAGAACTCTGATGCAGTGACCAACCCCGGTTCCCAAGGACTCATGATGAAACATGGTAGCCACCTGCTGACAGTAGAGGTAGATGTTAGGGGTTAGCATAAGGTAATGGAAAGAGCATTGAAATGGGAGTCAAGTGACCTGGGTTCTAATTCCAACTTTGTTACTTATTACCTTTAAGACCTTGGACATGCTCCTTCTCTGATCCTCAGTTTTCTCATCTATAAAGTGACAAAGGTTGGACTCTATGACCTTTAAAGTTCCTTCAAAATCTAAATCCTATGGAGTAGATGGGGAGGGTTAAAAGGCAGGGTGGAGTGGTAGAAACTTTAAAGACATAGATTCCCTTGGGCTGCTGTGGAATGGGCATGACTCCAAGGTTTTGGACCTGTGAGATTGGAAAAATGATAGAAATAGGGAAAATAGAAGTAGGAATTTGGAGGGCAGAGGAAAAAGATGACATATTAAGTTGGAGGTGCCATTGGTACCATCTGGTGGAAACCATCTAACAGGCTTTTGGAGTTGTGGGGCTGGAGGTTAAGAAAGAGATCAGGGTTGGTCATGGTGGCACACACTTTTGGTCCCTGGTATTGGGAGAGACTGAAGCTAGTAAATCACTTTAGCTCAAGAGCTATGAGTAACAGTAGAGATAAAACTAATTGGGTGTCTGCACTAAGTCTATCATCCACCTAGTGAAATTGTAGGATCCCGGATCCATCAGACTGCCTGAGGAAGGGTGAACCAGTCTCGGTGAGAAACGGGGCAGGCCAAAGCTTCAGTGCTGATCAGCAGTAGTATCAGGCCCATAAATAGCCAATGCATTTCCTGCCTGGGCAAGAAAGGGAGATGCAGGGAAAAGAAGAAAGAAAGGAAGGAAGGAAGGAAGGAAGGAAGGAAGGAAGGAAGGAAGGAAGGAAGGAAGGAAGGAAGGAAGGAAGGAAGGAGGGAAGGAGGGAGAAGGAAGGAAGAGAAAAGAAGGCAGGAAGAAGGAAAGGCAGGAAGGAGGGAAGGAAGAAATAAAGAGAAAGGAAAGAAGGAGGAGGGGAAGGAAAGAGGAAGAAGGAAAGGAAGGAAGAAAGAGGGTAGTGCTGGAGCAATAGTTAGGGTGTCACCTCCCAGAAGAAAGGCAAATGAAAATGGATGAGGTTGAGGCAGTATGGTAATATGGATCGAGAGCTGGCAACAGAGCCTTGGGTTCAGTCGGGTTTCTTACATATTTTGGTTAGGTAATAGGGTAAATCACTTAATCTTTCAATGACCCAGGGAACTCTCCAAGACTAGAAATTGCAAAGCAGTTGTTGATCAACATAGGTAGAGGGCGTTTCCCCAACAGTAGTCCTGTCCACCAATGAAACCACAGGTCTGGTCAAAAAATAAAAGTGAGCGTACCCCTGGAGAGAGGGTTGAAAGGGGAAGGTCAAAGGCTGAAGACAGAACTTTGGGAAATGTTCACATGTAGCAGATAGGAGGTGGGAAGAAGAAGAGCCAATGAAGAAGAGAAATAGGAGAAAAAAACAGGATAATAGAGTTCCTTTAGTGGGCAGGGAGGAGTTTCAAGAGAAGGAGGGAAGTTGCAGTAATAGAAGCAAAAGGTCCAATTTCAGAGGAAGAGAGATTGAAAGAGAATTTAAATATAACCACTGGTATGCAATAGCTGGTTGTTATATATGAGTTAGATGAACTTTCTCCAATCAAATTCTTCCTGAAACAAGCATATGGCTACTTTTCCTTCATGTCCTGAAGTTCCATAACTGGAGAGAAAAAAAAGGCTATTCAGGGGAGTGGAAGGTGGGGTTCCACTAAAGGATGGATTTTCACTCATCCTTATGGTAATGAATCACTTGGAGAAAGGGGATCAGCTCAGGATTGGGGAACCTTTTTCTGATTTCTCTCTTCACCAGGCAGGTGACAGATGAGACAGGAAGGTGCTCAAAGCCTTAGAGGCTGAATCTTCATCTTATAGCCATGTCAAGAAAAAGCCTACAGTTCTGGTGGTCACCATGTCACCACAACTGTAATCTCCCTTAAAGAAACAGGAAGAGAGACTAAAGGGAGAATTTAGAACAACTCCACCTCTGCATGCTCTTGGTAGGGAAATGCCTGTCTTTCTGTATGTTACTTTTCAGTCGAGAAGAGACCAGCATACATACAGCAATGCCATCTGGGGGTTCTCTTGAGCCCCCATGGTAGATTTAGGGGACTGAATTAGGGATGAAACCAGAAGGCTGGGGGAGGGGGAGGGGCTGGTGGAGACATATGTAAAGCGGCTATGCTACCAAGAAAGGCTGCTCTCAGCTGAACCTCAGACCACTTTTAGCATTGCTTCACTTTATTCTCATAAATCAGCATTCTTTTGAAGCTATTGGATTTGATGGCTCTTTTCTTCCAGATCTGCTTGCCTGGGTATGGACAAAAGCACTTCCCCACCTCAGCTCTCAATGCTCCCAGAGGATTCTGGAAGACTAGAAATTGTAAAGCAATAGTTGCTCACCGATGTTAGAGGGAGTTTCCCCAGCTGTAGTTTCCTCCTCCAAAGAAATCCCAAGTCTGGTTAAAAAATAAAAGTGAGCTCACCACTGGACAGACACATGATACCCACTAGCAGTGTGACCCTGGGCAAGTCACTTAATCCCAACTGCCTCGGGGAAAAAAAAAAACAACTTTGGGAAAGTTCACGTCTAGCAAGTGAGAGGAGGAAGATTAGTCAATGAACCTAGAAAGGAATTGGAGAAAGATTGGTGGTAAGAAGAAAAACAGGATAATGGAGTTCCTTTGGCAGACAGTGAGGAGTTTCAAGAGAAAGAGGGAAGTTATATTAATAGAAGCAAAAGCTGCCAATTAAGAGGAAGAGAAAAAGTGTGCTCCCCCCTCAAAAAACCCCCCAAACCTTAAATATCCACCAAGGACGGAAGTTAAAATGCAGAGAACAGAAATGATTGAAGTCAGGGAGCATGGATAGCTACAACCTACTCAGAGATAGCCGATGCCTTACAGGGCAAACTGCCTCATTTTCCCTGTCTCATCTCAGTTTTGACTCCCCGCCCCTATCAAGTACAGGCTTCAGGGTTTGAGCTTAATTGCCAAGAAGGAAGGTTGATTACCAAAGCCCAAATAATATTTGCACCTGTTCCTTACCTCCATCTCTGACCATCTGGTTGATGGTCATTTACCTCAAGAGAAGACCCTGGACCTAATAATCTCACTAGAACACGAATCCTTTGCAGAAAGCAGAGACCCATTTATTTCATGAGGAGGAGGGGTTGGGGAGGAAGGAAGGACTCACATGAGCTTGTTGCAGACTGGGGGGAGAAAGGAGGATTTGTTTTTCTCGATCCACTTCTTCACATTCACTTGGAACTCCATGATCAAGCCTGGGGAAGAAGCGGCTGACTACCTAGGGCCTCTGGGAGGAACTGAATCTAGTCAAGAGGCTGCTCCTCCCCCGGCTCACGAGGAGCCTCGCTAATTAGCATCCTATGGCTCAAAGGGCAACCGGCTCCCTGGGGGAACTGGAATCAGCCCCAGGAACCCGTCTTCGCGGGGCTGTATCCACCCTCTCTACATTCACGCTAGAACCTACAGCCCTCTTCACTCTGGAATCCACCTCCCCAGTCCCCTAGCGGGTCCAAGCCAGCCGGTATTCGGGGGAAGAGAAGGGTCCCTGCAGGTGTTTGGCATCATGACACGGAGGGAAGGATTAGGGTTGGAGAGAGAATGTGATGAGAAGCGGGGACCTCGAGGTTTACCTTTCTCTTAACCTGGAGAATCCAGAGTCCGCGCTTCGGGTCGAGCTACCTGCCCCCGTCCCCTCTCTTTATTCCTGGTTTTCTTACTCCTTGGAAGCAGTCGCCGAGAGTTCCCTGGTTCACACCCCCGACTTAAATAATGAAATGACACCTGGGTCGGAGATTGACTTTCCCTTCTCCCCTTTCTGCCCCACCTCCTCCCCCACTTAGGTATTTCTATTTGCCTCACAGAGGCCGTGGTTTTTCTCTGTCCCCAAGTAGTAGGCTGGAGGTAGAAGGCTTATGTTCCTCCATCTCCCAAAGGGGCCTCGATGACCCTGCTTCTCTCCTCCTCCCCTTCCCTGTTCAAACTGGTCCTTGGACGCTCCGCTAGCGACTTCCCAGAAGGTAGTGAAATCAAGTCTTAGAAAACACCACGACGTCCTTACTTTCATGAATCCTTACGGTGGGTGGAAGCACCATTTGCCATTTGGTTGCGGTTCTGTTGTGTTATGTTTGGTTTTATTTTTCCTTCCTATAAAATTGGGAGGATATCGAAAGAGAAGACAACTCCAGTAAGGATGTCCCAAGGAAAGGAAGCCTAATGACATATAGAATTGTTGAGGAGAGTGGTATGTATTTGGGAGGGGAGAGGCTATTTTTGCGGAAGAAGCAAGAAGCAACAGCTTCCAAGCTAGGAAGTACCCCCACCAATAGTCACACGACCAGAATCTGAGTGTTGGGCGGTGGGAGGGAGTGACGCTGTTAAGAGTAGGCCCCCACGAGAAATCTGAGCTGAGGTTTTGGCATAACCAGCAAAGCTATATTATCTTCCTGAACTGGGATGTAGGATGTGATTAGCCTGGGTCCTGGAAGAAATCAGATCCCTTGCAAAAGACGCTAAGATGTGGAAAGTATAGATTTCAATAAAAGCAGAAGCTCAAGTAACGGGTCTGGCTATGTCTTCTGAAACCAAAATTGGTCAATATAATAAATCTGAATTCTGCTGTTTTTTAGTGTAGTTTTCATTAATGTTATTGTAACTATTGTGTACATTGTTCTCTTTTGTCCCTTTCTTCACACTGCATCCCTTCGTTTAAATCTCCTCATGCTTCTCTGAATTCCTCATATCCATAATTTATAATGCTGTAATAATAGTACATTATATTCCTATAATGTAATGAATTAAGCCATTCTTTAAATGATGGGTACCTGCTATTTACAGTTTTTTGCTACTGCAAGAAGTCTAACTCCTTTTTGAAAAAGCTGATTCTGCTGGAAGGGGTTGATTCCCTAATGCCTTGGTGTGAATTCGTTTGTAAATTGCTTTGCCGGAAGAAATAAGGGACCTCTATGAAGCCATTGGGTAGAAGTGTGGTATAGACTGAGCTCTGGATTGGAGCCATGGGGTGTCATTTTAAATTTTGATTTGTCCCATGTAACATTGGGCAACTCACTTCCTATATGCCTCAATTTTCTCATCTTCAAAATGGTCAGCTTTGACTATCCTTCAAATGAGTAGCAGAGCCTCCCTTGGGGGCTGATGCTATTGAGATGGAATGTAATCTGAGATGAATTAATTTGGTTCCTAAAGCCTGTTTTGGGGATTTTGCTTTGTTTTGTTTTTACCCCAAGTGCCACCTTTTGTTCAGTAAACTATTAAGGAATTTAGCTGAACTTAAAAAAAAAAGGAAAAAAGAAAACAAAACAAGATTCCAGAAGATAAATGTGCTTTTCTTAGGGCATTTATTGGACAGTTCAATAGATTTTAAAATAATATTCTCCTAGGCTCTGAAGTTAATAACTTCTGAAGCATCTCTAACTCTTTTCTTTCTCTCCCAGACCTCTTTCAAATCTTTTTCTTAATTGACGTATTTTACCTACATATAGGTAAAATCCTACCTGTAGGATGATGTATGAACACTCCTTAGTGTGACACTTAAGGCTTTCCACAGTCAGACTCGAGCCTATCTCTCTAGCCTTATTTTGAGTCACTCATCATCAGGCACTCTGTGTTCCCTTCAAACTGGTGCTGTTTGTGTATATATACTTAGATATGTGGGCAGCTAGGTGGCACAGTGGATAGAGTGCTGGGCCTTAAGTCAGGAAGACATCTTTCTGAGTTCAGATCTGACCTCAGATACTTAGTACCTGTGTGACCCTGGGCAAGTCACTTAACCCTGTTTGCCCCAGTTTCCTCATCTGTAAAAGGAACTAGAGAAGGACATGGCAAACCACTCCAGTATCTTTGCCAAGAAAACCCTAAATGGGGTCCCAGAGAGTCAGACCTTGATTGAATAACTTAGATGTGTACATGTTGACTTCCCTGATATGATACAAGTTCTTTGGAAGCTGGAACTACTTTATATCTTTGGATGCCCCAGAGCCTGGCATAGTGCCTGGCACATATTAGTCACTTAATAAGGGCTTGACTGCTGAATTTCTTATGCTGTACTCTACGTGTGCATTCAGACAACTCCCTCCCTCTCTCTTTTTATCTTTATATCTTTATCTCATAATGCTGTTCATTAGGGTTCAGCTCAGATGTCACTTTGTCAAGTCCATAAACATTTATGAAGTGCTTACCATGTGGCAGGCACGTATAAACATGTTTCAGGTAAACATAGACAATACATATACAAACAAAAAGAAAGACAGTCTTTCTCTCAAGGATGTTCTATTCTGGTGGGAGGTGGGGACAACAAATAAAAGGGATGCCCACGTGGGTAGGCGGTGGAGAAGTCCAGAGAGTCAGGAAAGAAGCCAGGAGAGGAGTAGAGTGAGCATAGCTGCCCTGGGCATTTCCTCAAAATGTATGTTCTGGGAGGAACTTGCAAATTGGAGGAGTAGATAGTAGGGGCAGAGACATCTAGGGTGAAAAGGCTTGTCTAAGAAACTTCCCTGAATTCCCAAGCTGAAAATTTCCTCCCCCTTTCAAATGTTTGTAGAGTTCCTTGGTCTTTCTTTTGGCCTCAATATTCTCTCATGACTATTATGCTTACCTGATTTCATGTTCTATCCTTTAAGTAGAATGTAAGCTCTTGGAGGGCAGGGACTCTTTTCTTTCTTTTCGCCTTTTACTTTCTCCCCTTTTTTCCATTCTCTCTCCTCCCACTTTTTTCCTTTTCTTTCCTTTTCCTAGACCTATCATACTAATTTGACATTTAATATTTGTTGAATTTGAAATGTCAGATGATAGGTCAAAGATGCACAAAGTGAAGAAAGGCTGTTGGATTTGTCAGTCACTGGCAGTTTAGGAGGTCCTTGAATTCTATGTAGAGGAGTTTAGACTTGACTGAGTAGCAGAGAGATATTGTAATTATTCCACACAAGAGTGTCTGGATGAAAGTGGCTTACTTTCCTTGGTGAGGAAATCCTGTGATAACCTTGACCCCAGTGGCCCTTACAGTCTCAAATATTTACTGTATAGTTATAGAGGGAAGATAGGAACATAAGAGAATGATCATAGGTGGTTAAGGGATTCAACCATGCTCTTCTGCAGACTGGTCTTGAGAGCCAAAATCTTGGTTAGGTTTGGAGCAGGGAAATCAAATCATGTATATTTATATATATGGAGCAGGGAAATAAAATCATGTGTGTGTGTGTGTGTGTGTGTGTATGTGTATGTGTGTATATATATATATACACACATACACATACACACACACATATATAATATATATATATATATATATATATATATATATATATATATATACACATAAAATATAAATTAGGGGGTTTGACCAACAAACCCTTAGAAGGGACCCCTCCCCTATTACCTAATTCCTTAACAAACCCCTCCTGCTTTTTTAATATTCATAATTCCTGTTGTATAATCAGTATCATTACACTATAAATTTTTCTGTATTATCCTTCTAACTTACTGGTTCCTCTGGCAACTCAGCCCACTTTTTGAGAGGTGTCAATCTCAATAAATGCCTATACTTGGATTAGAGGTGGTCTGACTCTGTGAATTCATTTGAGATGACCCTCATAACAAACCATGAAACCCCAACAATATCCTTTGACTATCAATTGGGTGATGATTCTTATTCTTATAAATTTGAATTAGTTGCTTATATATTTTAGAAACATGAACTTTATCAGAGAAACTTGGTGCAATTTTTACCCAGTTACTTACTTCTCCTTTAATTTTAGTTGTATTAGTTTTGTTTCTGCAAAAGTTTTAAAATTTTATGTACCCCAAACTGACCATTTTATCTTCTGTGATCCCAATTTCCCTTGTTTGATTATGAACTCTCTTATCCATAGGTCAGAAGGATAATTAGAATATTTTTAAAAAATATATGCATAAATGCATAAAACATAAGATTATAAAACAAACCAATTATAGCAAGCTGCAGTTATCTATCTATCTATCTATCTATCTATCTATCTATCTATCTATCTATCTATCTATCTATCTATCTATCTATCTATCTACGAAGCTCTTGAATCTGTCCTTTTCTCTATACTCCCACCACCACCCCTCTAGTTCAGGCTTTCATCATCACTTGATGAACTATTGCATTGGCCTCCCCTGTTTCCAGTCTCTTCCTCTCCAAATCCAAGCCATACTCTACAAAATTACCAAAATAATCCTCCTTAAAGCATAGGTCTACCCAAGAAGCTTTAGTGGTTTTCTATGGCCTCTAGAACAAAAAGTAAACTCTTCAGCTTAGCATTTAAAAG